CTGATAACACTCTCCGACACAGTCCAGTATGGTGTCTGTCTCTAGGCAACCGTGACACGCGCAGGCGCATACACAGAGGACGAGATCCGGTGGAGGGCTGAAGAGCGGATCTAGATGTGTTGGTGTCCATAATAATAAATAATAAAAGCTTGTCTGTCAGGTGACTACTCACATTAGTTATGTAAAAACAACTACCCAGACTACTCAGTGTCACCTGATCTCTCTCTGTCTCTCTCTCTGTGCGTGCGTGTGTGTGTGGACTCCTTTTACCTTTTTGGCATAAACACTGACCTTGTCACGACCAACACTTGATCCTAGCAGACTCTCAGGTAAACTTTTGTCAGAGGCCTTTGGGTTTAAGGTAGAATATGCAGAAATTTCAGGCGACTGTTTGTAAACACAGAGCAAACAGAAATAGAGCTGGAATCTTTATTTGATATTAATCTGACCACATAACCACAAACACATACGTATTTTAGTGCTTTATAACTCCATGCCCGCCCCCGCCCTCCCCCCACTTCACTCCTAGATGTTGAGTTTCAACATCACACATCTGTGTGTTTCTGTTGTTATATTTTTAGCTTAGCGATGCTAAGGAAAGATTGTCTTTTCTAGAACTTCCACATGAACAGAAGTGTCTGTCCTTACTTGTGTACATCTGCCAAGCTTGCCATGTGTGTGTGTGTGTGTGTGTTTGATGGGGGCCTTCTTTCTTTGGAGGGTATAAGGGCGCCTCATTGGCTGCCGTGCTGAGGTGAAGCAGAGGTCAGGCCCCGTGTGATGGATGGATCCCTGTCTCTAGACCACTGCCTCTCTCCCCGTCCTCATCAGGGCCTCAGACCTGCAGTGGCGTTCCCTCTGCGTGCTCTGCTCTTCCCACGTCTCTGTGTGCCATTTCTGTTCTTACTTAGCTCCATTTGGCCCAGTACGACAGCCTCGTCCGACCGCGGCAGCAGAGAAAACTGCGGACAACTCTCCGAGGTGAGTTCTGTAGCCTAGCTGTGAACAAACTGCTCTTCAGTCATCGTGCCTGGAACACTCCCCCTAATCCCTGCTTCTCCGCTGGTTAACTCTGCTCACATTCCAGCCACTGTGGTCTCGCCAGCCTCACAGACATATGCAGAAGCAGCAGGGCTGACTTCCTCTGACCACATGATGTCATCTCTCCACTCCTCTCCCTCCATCATACTGTCAATCCCTCCATCCGCACGGTTCCCTTTATCGGCACATGGAGACGCACATCTGTCGATGGAGGAATTCATTTTGGCTGCCAATCACACCAGGGGAGTGGTCAGTGAGCACATATGCCAATACGTCGACCGGCCTGATGACTGACTTCTGTCCATCTGCTGCTCTTGACTTTGTTGACACTTTGTAGATTCCTAAATAGAATGACAAACAGAGTGACCATGAGTGGGAAATGCACGTGTCACGCTTTTTGGGATTTGACCGAGTGAATGGGTGAAGACTGACCATGAACCTTCTCCAGCCAGAATGTATGGACTGAGATTATCTCTGATCAATGCGGGTGTCACTGCAGAGGACGCAGACACACTCTGATGATACGGCCGTGTTCATATTTGTGCAGCCTTCATTTGCATAATGTCATCTTCTCTATTACAATGGGGAAATGAGGCTTAACCGTGGAAGCGTAGGTCAATGAGGTTCAAAGGCAGGGCCAAATGGATATTTACCCTGGGTGGTGCGATGATGAGGTCTGAGTGTTATTTCTTTTTAGTGTTCTTGTTTGTTTGTCACAGAGCACCGCTATCACTGAGAAATTATGTTTCCTCCTGACGTATTTCCCAACGGCTTTGGTACAGATGAACAAACACCTTCACTTGGGAATCTGAGAAAAGCTTTAATTTTCTTTGCATAAAGTAACAAAATAAACTCACAGAGTTGAGGAATGGCCGTGCTTCCTCCTGACTCAGTGATCTTATAGGATACGACTCAGACTTCTGTGCAGGTCAAGCCTTCTGGAAACAGTTCCTCACTTTTGAAGTACATGCTCCGCCTGGTTTCTACAAGAACAATCAAGACCCAGTTTTAGTTTCTTTCCAAACCTAATGTTCTTCTTTGTTCATAACTTCTTCCTCCTGAAGAGGATTTACAGCTTTGACATTCCACACACTTCTACCTCCTTGTTTCACCTTCCTTCTGTCAACACAGACATTTGTTTGTCTTCACATTTATTCAAAACGGTTTTCAACATATCCTCTTCAATAATTAGATTTTTTTTTTCTTCTACACGTTGTAGTTCTGGTTGAACCTGTTGACAACACGTTGACTTCCAAAACAGTTTCTAGAACTTTATTGTCCTTTCAACCGTTTCATGGGCAACCACAAGTTAAGTAAAATTATTTCTAAAAGTTATTTCCTTCAGACCATAATACTTTTGTGTGAAGTGAAAGTTCAAAACTTTCAAACCAAAACGAGTTTCTTTTATTTTGATAAAATTGTCTGAGAGATAAATCTTTGTTTACGATTTCACCTTATTGGGTTTAGATAGAGATCATGGCGTTCTTAGAATAAACTCTGCCCTGGTATTTCAGTGGCAGCGTGGTATGATTGTCTGCGAACATAAATCAAATGTGTTGATATTTTAAATTATTTATCAAGGAGTAAAATATTTATTTATATATATTTAAAACATATATGTATTTTAAATGTATCTGCTTCTGCTTTTGTTTATGTTGCAAAATGTTTAATGTATATTAAATTATTTTAATAACACACTAATAAATAATAATAATAATTTATATTTTATTTAAATATTTTCTTCCATTAGAGAGCCCACACTCATTAAATAATTATTGGAAACATAAAGTGCGAATTATCAAATATAACTGAAAACTGTTTATTAAAATTACGATTATAATTTCAAACATTTAATTGAATTATATTATACCACAATTCCCAAGGTTTTGCGCCAATATACAAACGACAAAATTTCGAAACTAAATATAGGTCAGATATTGGACCATGTTTTCCGAAGGACATTGTGACAAATATATCGGCCAGTGTCATAAACTAATATTTTCCATATGTTCCAGGCCCATTTCATTAAGTGTCTGTTTTTTTAGGCCACATCAAGGACGCACACATGAATTTTACGTTTCATTTTTGCGCCACCTCGTCAACAGTCAGGGTTTTTTTTTGTGTCAAACATCTTTCATCGACTGTGTGTTTGTTCGAGGCCCTAATGAGAACCACCGGTCTGGTCGCAGGGACCGGGAACAGTGTCCAACTTTCAGCAAAGTGAGGTCAACCCTGCACTCAGCAGTCAGTCTGTGTGTGTGTGTGTGAGTGTGTGATCCGAGCCGAAGTGTTGACTGCACTTTTTCAGATGCTTGTTTGCGCAGTGCGATGTGTAAACTGTTGTTTAGGTTCAGGCTCTGACCGCGCGGTGACCCCGCAGTTTTCTTTCAGGGTCAGCTGCCTTTCTAATTCACTGTGGTCGGCTCCTGCAGAGCGCACAGAGGCCCGGGCTAAGAAAGAGACCTTCATCAAAGGGAAAAACCCAGAACACCTAAGAGCGTTCAGAGATGTTTTTTTTTTATTGTCTTGTAAAATAAAACAAGAATATTTAGTTCCTAAAATTATGTCCTTGTAGAAAAAGAGGGTAAAATAGTGACAAATATTTTTCTCTAAATTGTTGTCGATGCTCAATAGACAAATACAAATTAAAAGCAAAATGTTTTAAGCGTTTAAAAATAAATAAGATATCGATTTTTATTTTAAGTTATATATTTAAAATGAACTTTTCAAAATTGTTAATCAACTATGTTTATGTCTGAAAATGTATAACATATATATAATAACATTTAAATGAATATATATACAATTTAGTGGTAGTTTAGTAAATTGTATATATATTACTTAAATGTGTGTATATATACATATATGTGCGAGTGTATGTGTGCAATACAAACAAAATGTTTTGGTACACAGACAAACTAGACATACGTGAAATACACCAAGCAACAGGTAACTATTACCTTTATTTAATTTTTTATTTTAATAATTTTAATTATTTAATTTAACAAATTTAATGATAATAGTAATGATAATAGTCTACTAATGTTAGACTAATAGTAATGTTATTTTTGAAATTAATCACAATTAAGTTTCAATTAATATGCAACATGACAGAGGATGCACTTTGTGCTAAAAATATTTAAAAATGTATATATTTTATATATTATAGAATGATTGTATTTTTTGTGTGTTTTTCCTACATACAAGTTTAGTAGGTCAAATCCATTTTAAAGAATGTTTACTTCTCTGTGTATATTCAAATGAAAGCCAACCTTAAAACTTCAAACATGTTCAAACTTTGACGTCATCTTGATTTTCCTGACTGGCTCCTGGTTGTGTCAGTGAACATTCTTCGTTGTATTTACACCGAAACAACTGCTCTGACAACGAAATGAGGGTGTGACCCAACTCACCTTGTCACAGGTGCGGCCTTTGTCCTGAAAGAGAGGGGGAAAAAAACACATGAGCAGCACTGAAAATAAACAGCACCAATAACAGAGGAGCAGCTCGTGCAGATGAATGGCACCACCATCTCTGTTTATTTACGATGGGATGGAAGTGCATCCTTCAAAAACTGCATTTCTTTTCCATAATCGCATAATTTAATCTTGTGATTTAAACGCAGTTTCTTATAAAAGTTTAGTTTTGTGTTGATGTCAGCCTGTGTTTGACAGACACTGCTGCAACTTTTCACCGTGCACCCCGTCATCAGGTGCTGCTGATGACACCTCTGTGTAACTCGGTGAACTGGGGAGTTGACGCTGACGGGGCCAGTCGATAGTCTAACCTCGATGTTTAATCGATATGAGTTTTTTTTTTTAGTCCCCTCAATAAGACCGTAGCTCGATGAGGTTGTCATCACAAATTACGCGGGCGTCCGCGCTCCCATCTCCTCCGTGGATAAACATGCTCCTTCTTATGCCAATAGCGGTTGACCCCAGGGGGAGGGGACGCGCACGGCCGCATACATTGAGAGACTCAGATATGGGACATAAAAAGAACTGAAGACATGTGCTCTGATTGGTGGGTTAAAGTGGAGACTTTTTTTAAAAAAAAAGTATGATTTACCAGATGTTTGCGCTCATCAACGACACATGAAGAGTTTTCATTTGAAGTAAACGCACTTTAATACTCATGATTAACCCGTAAACGTCTCTCTGGACAATCCACTCTCCCTGGATTACATAGACCACAGATTAAAGCCTGCTCCGACAATCACGTGACCACGAAGCTCGGATCTCCAACTGATAAAACTCAGTGCCTCGCTCGTAAACACATGAAAGCATTGCGCGTCGTGCAAACCTCACACAGAATACATTCAGAAAGTCACAGACACACTTTCACAATAAACTCTATAAGGTGTTGGTTGATTGTTTGTTGCCTGATTGATCGACATCCCGGGCAATCAGTCCGGCCTCGGCCATCACGCACGTCTTTGGCACATGTGAGGTATTCGCTCGTGAGGGGGGGGGGCGTGAAAAAACAGGATCATGTTGTGCCACAGATTTAACATTTAGTCAGAAACCGTGTGAAACATCACGTACACAGGTATGTACACGAAACACTGAAAGTCTTCCAACACGTATTTAACCAGGAGATTTTTTTTCCAAAGTTCTCATTAGTGCATAAACTCGTCCACATCTGCAGGCTCTGACACAATAGCTGTGGCATGTGTGACGCCATGACATGTTCGACTCTAACTCTCAGTTAGAGGAGTAAGGGTCAGCTCCAGTGGACGACAGCGTGGATGTTGAGGGAGAAGGAGAGGATGGAGCAGAAATGGACTTCTCGGATGCTGCGTCGTCCTTTTTGTCCTCTGTGTTTTCCCCAGCATCCGAGCTTGTTGGAGCTTTGGCCGGAAGCAGCCCCTCCTTCTCCCGCTTCTTCTGCTTCATCCGCCGGTTCTGGAACCAGATTTTCACCTGAGTCTCATTCAGCTGCAGGGCAGCTGCAATCTCTACACGCCGCGCACGCGTCAGGTACTTGTTGAAGTGGAACTCCTTCTCCAACTCTGTGAGCTGCTTGGTGGTGAAGTTGGTCCGGACAGTGTTGGGCTGACCACCGTAGCCGTACTCCCCTGACCTGCCTGTGGGCAAACAAACCACGTCACCTTTGGCTGGAGATAAAATGATAATACGGATTGAAATAAACTAAACTAAAAGTAGAGCATCTCAGAGGAACCGAACGTGAGCAATGGCATGGCTTTGTTTTTCAATTTTATTCAATGATTTAATTTATAAATTTTTAAAACCTCATAATAATTATTCCAGGTTAATAATGCTTTGGATTTTTGTGCAAGTTCAGGTTCAGTTCTGTTCTGACTCCAGGAGCCAACATCCTGTAAACCAAAACCACATGGTCCATATTTAGCACCTACCAGTTTTTGGTGGGTTCCTCTTGACCTTCATCCAGTCAAAGGTCTGGGCAGAGGACGCAGCCTCGGACAGAGGGGAACAGCATGCCTCCAGGTGGGCTGCGTGCAGAGGAGACAGAGGGTTCGAACAGCCAGGAAACGGGGTGGCCTGTTCATGCCCGCCGCCGTAGGCTGCATGGGCGTACTGCAGCTGACCCAGGGGGGCGCCACTGTACCCTTGGCGATGCTGCGAGACCATGGGGGAGGAAATGTTGCCCGAGTACATCAACGGGCCACACTGTGGGAATCCAGCTGTGGTGTCAACTTCCTGGTTGAGTGCGTATGGGTTGTATGTAGCACAGAAACTTTGGGGTCCATAGCTGGAGCTACAGGCCGGGTGGGCCCCATAGGCAAGACCCAGAGGGGGGGCATTGGACTGGTACGACCCCTGGTGGGGGATGACATCAGGGGAAGCCCTGCTGCCCATGAACCGGTCATCCGCCCCGCAGTTGTTGACACTCACTGCACAGGACTGGAAAGTGGTCAAACCGTGGTCCGTGTGGAAAGTCCTGACCGAGCATGAGCCGCCGTCCCCGCTCATCACCGTGTAGTCCAGGAAGCTGCTCATTGTAGCATCTTTCGTCCAGGACCGAGGGACCGTCCGCCGTACAGACACCCTCAGGTCTCCTCTGATCTCCTCTGCTCTCCCCACTTTTCCCTCAGTGTCCGTGCCAATCTTTACCTTTACTCCGACCTCATCACGGGGAGGAGGAGGAGGACGCACGGCCCGATATCAATGAACGGCTGCTGTCACGTGGGCCCGGGTCAGCCAGTGAGGCACTTGTCCTTATCCCTGTGGCCGGTGACAGATTGGCGTTCGAGTGGCTATTTAAATTCCAGGCGCTCGTCGATCAAGGTGACGCGCGTCGCCACTAATGTATTGGCTGAGCAAACAACGAGCTGTAAGGCAAACGGCGGTGGACAGCGCCGGGGTCGCAGCACCATGAGCAGGGAGCGGATAAGAGTGTGACTCCGTTAACACCATAGATCTGCTGAGTGTCGCCCCAGGGAAGATTAACGCTTCACCCCTCGGCCAGTGCAAGTGGAGCTGCACACACTCTGACCTCAGGTGATGGGGCTATTTTTGGAAAAGTCTGTGAGTGTGTGTGTGTGTATGCCTGTGTAATATTTTGACATTGTTGGCGGTGTTTTCAGGGCCCTTGTTCTTATGAAACAAATGTCATTTCTGCGTCTGTTGTTATTGTTACGCATTTTAAGGGAGTGAGGTTTGTAATATAGTCCTAGGTAGACTGTACTAATGAATGGAGTGTGTGTGTGTGTGTGTGTGTGGGGGGGGTGTTGAGTGGCTAATGAATGGATTTGTGTATGCACTTGTACACTGTATGTTATAAAGGCTTTGTTACGGTATGAAATCTAAACTTAGACCTTGTTTTATTTATTCTTTTCACATCACTTTTAGGTTATTTGTTAAGAGCGTATCTATCTATCTATCTGTCTATCTATCTGACGGACAGACGAATGGCTGGATCAGTGCTTAGTGTGCGCACGTGCGCGCGCGCGCGGTCACGCTGTACCCTTTTGAGCTCATCCGCGCGCGTACGTGTCCGCCTCCATGTATCACACTTCGACTCTGTGAGGGGTTTGCACCGCGCCTCGACATGAAAGAAAAGACGGAGCGCTTCAACTTCCAGTCCATTGACAGAAACCCTTCTCTGCTGCCATATTAAAGTCACATTAGGAATGCGTGGCCGCCTTCACTTGCTGCAGGAAAGGGCGCGGGCGACGCGGCGACAAGATAACATATTGAACATTAAGCTCGTGTTGTATTATTTTTCTCCCTGCGTGTCTCGGGGTCACGGGGTCGGCTGTGTAGGTGACTGTGATTTTACACCCACATGTATTCATTACGCCTCTATAATGATCAAATGAGCTGATAATGTTAGGCACGTCGTAGGAGCTAATGTGCCCATATATGTAGCCCGAGGTGCGAGAGTGGGCTGATTATCCTGTTAAGTTCATCAAATCAAGCTGCGAGAGGAGTGGATGGAGTGAAGCGGGGGGGGGGGAGGGGAGGAAAGAGGAGAAGTGCGTGGGAAAGAGATACGGCAGATATGGCAGAGAGCAGAGGCAACCTCTCACTGAGGAAGGAAAAGGGAGGAGGCGGGAGGAGGGAAGGGAGGAGGCAGAGTGAGAGAAGGGATTGGACGGAAAGACGAGCGCCTCCTATGGTGGCATGTGGGAAATATCAGGAAAAATAGGACTTTCAGTTGTATATCGAACAGAGACACACAGATAGATAATGTGTATCATACAATACTACGAATAATATTTAAAAATATATATACAGTGCTGGCCGATATAGCACTTACAGCTGAGATATGACTCATTCTCAATCACAATGCACTGTGCAATTCAATGAGTTTGATTTTTTATTAAACAAATGAAACGAAGACATCTTTGCCCTTCAAAACCTTTCACAAAGAGGTCTTCCATAAAAGATAACATGTAGACTGTTCTCAGCAGCCACGTGCTGTTGTAAACACAAAGCAGCCATAACAGTAACTAACTTTAATTATTTAATGAAGCAAAAGAAAATGGTGTCAACAGAACACCTTGTGGCCATCTAGAATAGTGCACGACTGCACAGCAGTCTGTCATTTTCATTGTCTTACTAAGGCTGGATATCTTTACAAATGCAGAAGGCTACAGTGTCATTTGTTGTCTTTGGAGCTGAGCTGTTAGCCAGCAGTGCATGGAAAAAGCTTTGAATAAGTTGCTCACCACTCTTAGTCGCCACACCTGCCGGGGATGCCGGGTAACTGGCGCAGGCCTCCACGGTCACACCTTCGCTTCAGGTGACTAATGAGGTCCCTGTGTAGCAGCACGGCACAGTTTGTAAATAACATCCGTGGTGCAGCCAAACTTTTGATTCATAATTGACAGGCGAGTAAAGAGCTCTACCTACGCCATGTTTGTTTTGAACAGCGCGGCTACGCGCATCAATACGCCCCGAGGCGCACATACAATGGTGCACATCCGCGGTGCACGTTAATGTAAAGAAGATCCTATTTAGTCGGAGTAACAATGTTCAAAAATAATATGTTATTTGGTTTGTTACATGTACAAATAAATGCAGAAACCGCTCAATTTAAAAAAAAAGTTTTTTTACCCATATAAAGACATATATATATGTGTGTGTGTGTGTGAACATAGGCTATATATAAACAAGCATGTGGTTATTAATAAAGAAGTGCTGCAAAGTTCTCACTACAGTTAAAAAAAGAAAAAACGCAGTGGAGTCAATAGCTCCTCCGACATATATATACGCTTCCCTCCTCCCTCCTCCCTCCTCCCCCGTCTTCCCAGCTGCCTGTGCGGCCACAGAGCGAGTGGGCGCAGTGGAACCAGCCTGCTGCCTGTTTGCCTGTCTGTGGAAACTTCGCCAGACCCTGCAGCCTTCTTGGCTCTTTGTGTGAGCACATGTGCGCAGAATAGGCGCGCTGTCTCGGAATGATTTGGTTATACTGGCCCTGGTGGTTAGTCAAGGAGCTGTGGAGCGAGCCCTGCTCCTACCCATACCCCCATAGGCAGCGAGAGGGAGGGGGGGGGGGGGGGGGGGAGAGAGAGAGAGAGAGTTGAGTCATTCATTCAGTCGATGGAGTCCTTATGGCTTCCACATTATTCGATAAACCCAGATCTGGAGCTTGGTTGACTTGTATGAGTTTGTTAATCGATGCACACAGACCAGTGACGCAACTGGTGGTTTTGTTCAGTTCACACAAACACACTTGGAGTGTAATAACCTATTGAATCAAAGTGTGTGTGTGTGAGTGCATAACTGATTCCATAGGTCAAGTCAATACGGTAGAGCCAGAGCATAATAGAATAGAGTCGTCATCCCTGTATTGGACCTAAAGACTTCCAGTGCGACACTAACCCACGCTCCAATAAAGTTAGAAAAATACTACCAAAACCCGTGTAGTCTTCCTGGAATACTTCTCTCCACAGTCCCTGCTCTGCCCCGTGGACTAATTTCAGAGCCCGTGATTTAGTCTGTTCGAGCTGCTTCTGTTTGTGCCGCTGACTGCGGGCCAGAGCCGTGTTTAAACAAGCCATAAAAATGAATTATGACCGAACGCACGCACGAGTCTCGGCCCCTTTTAGCACCAGGAATTGGGGAGTCCCATATGAAAATGTAAGTGGGGTTTTATTTGTGCACATTACGCCACAATTGGTCTCCTTAATGTCCGCCTCATTCATGCCACGGAGTGATTTATGAGCTCCTGAAGGCAAACATGGCTCGGGTGTTTGCCTGCAACATGCACACAATGTGAAGAGCCTTGTCATGCTTTAAGAACCATGTTGGCGTGTATTTGCTTTTAAGGAATCTGTGCTAAGTCATTAAAAGGCCAATAAAAGATAAATGACGATAACGGCGACCGTGTAGTCTGCGTTCACGTGTTTGTTTCTCCTTTTGTTACATGCGTGCGTTGAACTACAACTCTGAATAATGTATTCCTAATCATAATAATAATTTTTATTTTTATTTATTTTTCCACTGCTAACTGCAAACTAATTTAAATGAATTCTAAACAAAATTCAACGGTATGAGTTTTTAAAAGTTTACTATTAAAGTTTAATTTGCGTGTGTTAATTTCACATATATTTATAGTCGATATTAGTAATTTGCAACTATGTAAATATGTGAAAAAATGAATTTAAAATACAAATACAATTCATGTACGTGCCTTTCCAACTCAATGCGGCCCACGCTATTTATATTCATTGGCAACCTGTTGTTAAAATTTGCATGCACCGTCTCTATTCCTCTGCCCTACTTTTTTTTTATTATTTTGCATATTTTCTACATGAATAATTCACGTAAGAAATGTTCAGCGTGTGAAATGGAAAAACAAACGACTCCAAACACAAGGAAAAAAAGGGATTGTAGCAAGTTAATTGTATTCTAACAAAAATATCCAAGACGTTGGGAGCTATACAAAAATAAAAACGACCAGGTTCCATAGGCCTAATATTGTATCATTATTCACATACACTCATAATTTCCATTCCAAGAGATCGATTTCTTATGGTAATTACAAGCCACTTTCTGAAGAAGAGCTACTTCAACGAGACAAGTCCGTCCTTACCTTGAATAAACTGTCAAGTCAAAGAAAAAAAAGAAAGAAAATCAAGAGAATAAATGTGCCGAATTTACAAACAACACCCGAGGTAACACCATTCTAGCCTGATATTTATTGTCCATCTTACCCCCTCAAAAAAATGGTTACTCTGATTGGTGTGAATTAATAGTTCAGATGCTGCAGGTCGATTGTAGTTAGAGACTCCGAGAAAAAATAGAAAGTGTCCGTGGAAATGTCCACCGGGCTGTCCAGAGATTCTGACAAGCTCGGCGAGGCCGCGTCGGAAAGTTGTAGGCAGGAATCCGAGGAGAAAGGCTGAAAGTCGTGTATAGAAACATCCAGGGCCGGGGGACTGTCGCCATTGTCCGGGTCAGATGCCGAGCCGGGGCCCATTGTTGACATGCAGCCCGGAACAGTGGGTGACGGGTTGGGAAAATGTTTCAGATTTTTGTCATTGCTGTTCAGCGGCGCAGCAGCAAAGCCGTGCAGGGACTCTCCATTGTGAAGCTGCTGTGACGAGGCCAGAGAGTTGTTTTGAAAGGAGCAGGTATCTCTTTCCAGCAGGGCCCCACTCCGCTCGTACAGCTGCGGGGCCTCGTCCTCCTCCTCCTCCTCCTCGCTGTGGATGCTGTCCTCGGCTCCGGCGCCTTTCCCGTCCCCGTTGTGGTTCTCCTTGCTCTGGGTCTGGCGCTTGTGCTTCATGCGTCGGTTCTGGAACCAGACCTTGACCTGCCTCTCGGTCAGGTCCAGCAGAGCGGCTATTTCCACCCTCCTCGGCCGACACAGATACTTGTTGAAGTGGAACTCCTTCTCCAGCTCCAGCAGCTGGGTGTTGGTGTACGCCGTCCTCAGCCGCCGGGAGCCTCCTCCTCCTCCTCCCCCGCCGCCGCCGCCGCCGCTCTCCACAATCTCAGGCGAGCCTGCAAGAAGGAGCAGAGTGGCGGAGTGAAGATTAAAATGCTGGACTGCACTGTTACATCACCTCACAACAACATGCTGCAGCAAAATGGCCGCTGGAGCTGCATTGAAGGCAGCCTCACAGCCTGTGCTGTCGTTATCTAAAAATCACCGCTGGTTACAGATAATAATCTTCTGCTTTTTACGCATAAAATAATGTGTTCGACCTGGTCGTGCAGAGGCAGAGAGGGTGCAGAATAAAAGCTGTGAGGTCCAGGCTGCTGTGGGATACTTAATGAATGCTCCAGCTGCCCTCCTCGGCAACGGCACTCCATCACTCTTCATTACTGTCACACATCAAAACTCTGCCACGGCGAGGAGAATAAATCATCTCCCATCACCAAACTTTAGCCCAAACTTTTCCCCTTTGCTCGGTCACAGCAAGGCAATAACAATGATCCAGTAAATCCAAAATGATTTGTTTATTCGGCTCATTTTACTGGTCACCTCAGTGCAGTCGGTTTTTTTTTCTCTCCCTAAAATGACATAGTCATCTCTGTTCCTGATGGAGAAATCACCCACCTTTTGGAGAAAAACACACGGGTCCATTGGAGATGGTGGTAGCGGTGGAGGTTGGCAGGTGGTTCCTCTTGGAGGCTTTCTTCTCCCGCATCCAAGGGTACTCCGGGGGTAGGGAGGCGGTGGGTAGCTGGCTGCATCCGTCGGGGCTGTGCCTAGGCCGGCCGTGGCGCGGATGGCTGCCCGGGTTCAGGCTGGGAATGGTCTGCTCAAAGGGAGGAGGAATCAGTGTCGGGCGTGAAAGCGTCGAGCTCTTGATTGATGAACTTTGAAATGAATCAGCGACAGGGGGGAAAGATGTCAGGCACTCAGCAAGCGACGGCTGACTATTGATAAAACCGCTCTCTCGCTCGAATTCGTAATTCATCTCCGCTCCCTGAGAGCCGAGGAAAGTTTGCACGCGTATTTTTATAAATGTTGCGGCTCAGTGAGGACGAGGAAAGAAAAAAAAATCATGTAGAAAAATCTCGTGGTTGGGTTTTTATTTTTTTTGGTTCTATTTCACTGATTACGGCCGTGTGGGGACCGAGCTACTATTAAACTATTGAATTCATGGAGACAAGGTTGAAATTGGACCGAATTGCCTGTCACATGATTACCTCTGTCCAATGACAATTTGAGGCTTAATCAAAAGAAGCCACTGTCTGTCTGATTGATCCAAAAAGTCAGGCGAAGCTGCGGGACGCCTGTTTTTATTTACATCTTTGTCCGCTCAGTTTATCCTCCTGCTCGCCATCAGAGTCCAGTCCAGTCCAGTCCAGTCCACTAAGCTACAAAATGTGTTTTTTAAGAATGGCTGACGCTCACTATTACAGGGAAGGAGCCCGGGCTGGGGTGCGCGCGGATTCGTGCACTCCTCTTTTCTCGTATTGTTTGAGGATGTCAGTCGAGAACGCCCCCAACCACACACACGCACACACACGCACGCACGCACACACAGACCGTCTCTCTCTCTCTCTCACACACACACACACACACACACCAGTAGCCATCCTTGAAATCCAGAAACAGCCAAAAGCTTCAAGATGTGTAAAAGAAACAAACCTCTGACCAAAACTGATATTGAGACATGTGGACAGAACCAGACCTCAGTCTGCCTCCTGACTGTGGTCCCCACAGGGACACATGTTGGCCCCTCAAATGTGCACAACAGTTAAAAAAAGAAGAAGAAAGAAAAATGCAGCGCATCCATCGACATGTGTCGCAATAAAACGCCCATCCATTAAGTTAACGCTGACGGATATGACACCTTCACGCTATTTTCTTCGCGTAAGAGGTGGGCAGGTGGTTCCTCTTGGAGGCTTTCTTCTCCCGCATCCAAGGGTACTCCGGGGGTAGGGAGGCGGTGGGTAGCTGGCTGCATCCGTCGGGGCTGTGCCTAGGCCGGCCGTGGCGCGGATGGCTGCCCGGGTTCAGGCTGGGAATGGTCTGCTCAAAGGGAGGAGGAATCAGTGTCGGGCGTGAAAGCGTCGAGCTCTTGATTGATGAACTTTGAAATGAATCAGCGACAGGGGGGAAAGATGTCAGGCACTCAGCAAGCGACGGCTGACTATTGATAAAACCGCTCTCTCGCTCGAATTCGTAATTCATCTCCGCTCCCTGAGAGCCGAGGAAAGTTTGCACGCGTATTTTTATAAATGTTGCGGCTCAGTGAGGACGAGGAAAGAAAAAAAAATCATGTAGAAAAATCTCGTGGTTGGGTTTTTATTTTTTTTGGTTCTATTTCACTGATTACGGCCGTGTGGGGACCGAGCTACTATTAAACTATTGAATTCATGGAGACAAGGTTGAAATTGGACCGAATTGCCTGTCACATGATTACCTCTGTCCAATGACAATTTGAGGCTTAATCAAAAGAAGCCACTGTCTGTCTGATTGATCCAAAAAGTCAGGCGAAGCTGCGGGACGCCTGTTTTTATTTACATCTTTGTCCGCTCAGTTTATCCTCCTGCTCGCCATCAGAGTCCAGTCCAGTCCAGTCCAGTCCACTAAGCTACAAAATGTGTTTTTTAAGAATGGCTGACGCTCACTATTACAGGGAAGGAGCCCGGGCTGGGGTGCGCGCGGATTCGTGCACTCCTCTTTTCTCGTATTGTTTGAGGATGTCAGTCGAGAACGCCCCCAACCACACACACGCACACACACGCACGCACGCACACACAGACCGTCTCTCTCTCTCTCTCACACACACACACACACACACACCAGTAGCCATCCTTGAAATCCAGAAACAGCCAAAAGCTTCAAGATGTGTAAAAGAAACAAACCTCTGACCAAAACTGATATTGAGACATGTGGACAGAACCAGACCTCAGTCTGCCTCCTGACTGTGGTCCCCACAGGGACACATGTTGGCCCCTCAAATGTGCACAACAGTTAAAAAAAGAAGAAGAAAGAAAAATGCAGCGCATCCATCGACATGTGTCGCAATAAAACGCCCATCCATTAAGTTAACGCTGACGGATATGACACCTTCACGCTATTTTCTTCGCGTAAGAGCAATTTAACATTTACAAACACATCACAAATTCATCACCCACATACCCACACGTACATGCATACATACATATATGCACATTCACGGTCGTTGCAGCCTCTTTATGCCGCTGTATAAACACATGTAGCCTACATATGATTTAGTCCATTTCCACCAAAGGTATATTTCCCAGGGAGATCACGCGTGCTAGTGCTAGCAAAGGCACCAGGAGGTTAGAAAGCACAGAGTCGTTCTTGTTCAATTTGGGGGGAAAGAAAAGAAAGAAAAGAATCCAGCTTTAAAATGTGAGCTTATTCTTATTTATGTGATTTTGTGAAAACCCGGCCCAGCTGCTGCTGAGAGCAGAGTTTACATCCACTGCTAGTCCTGCACTCATCACCTCCACCTGAAATTGCCATGGAAAAAAACACAATCATGATCGACCATGTACATGCACAGTCATTTGCAGCGCCATTATGCAGATGGAGTCGTTATTGAATGACCCTTGCTTCTGCAGCCCTTCAGATTTTTACAGCCCCTGCAGAACAATCCGTGCACGATTACACATAAAGGGGTGTTTTTTTCTTCTTCGTCTAGCTAGCACTACATTTTGGAATTTTATTTTTAAAAAAAAGAAAAAAGAAAGAAAGAAAAAAAAATCACGAGTAAGAGAGAGGGAGAGAGAGGAAGAAGAGAAGTAGTCATAGGCCTCTCTCAGTTTGTTGCTTATACACCAAACAAAGAGTCCTGGAAGCCTGTGCGCGATCAATCTTACTCGCCAAAAGGTCTGACAGCTCGGTGCCCTCACAACACATTTAAGGCTTCTAACTCTCCCTCGGATCAAATGCAGCCAGGAAGCGGCCAGAAACACTGGCCACTCAGATTAAAACCAGTCTCTGTTCGCAGTCAGAGCAGGGACTGTCGCTGGAGGGATGTTTTAGCAGATAAATAAGCCGCACAACCAGATGCGACCATTTTGCCTGTTTCTTTTCGAACAGCCGTCGGTGAGTACAGGGCGATGCCTCTCCACCTGTCTTTTATCTGCTGAGCTGAGAACCAAAGCGGGGAAAGAATATTTCTGCAGTTTTGGTGGACACGACGGTTTGTGTGCAGAGAGCAGAGCGTGTCGTGGTGGAAGACAGAGTTGCCAAGGGAAGAGATGGATGGCTTTTTTGGAATTACGCACAGGCTTTGTGTGTAAGGAAAGGAGTGGGTGGCGGCATTTAGTGAACCCCAGCTTGTCCCTCACACTTGTCTTTATGATTTAGTGGCTCCTTTCCCACGGATGGACAAAAATAAAATCCAAAAGAAATCATAATAATAAAAAAAACCCTGCTCTCGGATATATATTTGTTTTGTTTTTAGCCCAGTCTTCTACCTTGTGTGTTAATTACGCACGTGAGAGCAATTTAGTGCTGTGGGCGCGCGTGCATGTAGGCGTGCGTGTGTTTCTCAGTTGGATGCAGAAATACTCAGTGCATCAGTTTTTTTTTTCCCCTGCTTTGACACACCATGGTTCAATTGTTCTAGGTTTCCCTGCTAACCATATGTCAGGGCTACTATGTCCATGTCCTCTCCCATCAGTCAGTGTGGGCTCAGAGTGGATTACTGCTGCAAAATTAGTTACTACAAATGCGCATATAATAATCAGCAAAGGTTGGAATCAGTTGGGTTTGAAGAATCTCTGCATGAGTGGACGATATTTTTGAAAATATTTTTAAAAAACGGGGGTAAATGTAGTGTGTGTTATATTTCTGCCACATCAATAATATATATGCAGACACAAATAGTAAAATACATAAAGGATATTTCAAATTCTAAAATCCATACAACACCGAAAAAATACAAAGCTATCTGTTAGCGTCGATGTGGTGTTTTAATTTTCATAACCGTTTTTTTGTGTAAAATTGATATTTTTACACAGATGAAATGGGACCAATAACATCGTTATGATTCCATTTAAAATATTTTTAAATGAAAATATCAGTTCTCATTTAGCTTCTTGTGTTTTTTTTTCAGAGCCCCAGAAAGACCTGGCTGACATTTTAAAATTTTTAATGGATGTGACCACGCAGATGAGACCTGGAGGAGAGAGAGGGCCACGCGAGTTTTTAACGTACGGTGGAGAAAGAAAAAAAATCTGTATTATTCTTTTTAAATTGTTGAACGTATTAATAATGTTTTAACGAGTATTTTTTGTGCGTTAAAATATCGAAATCCTTGCTGTTGGTTTTATTTTTTGTTTACTGGTATTATTTTTTGCTTTGGATATTATTAACCATAATAATCATGAACTAATAATATTATTAAAATTAAAAGCATGTACCGTATTTTTTCTTAATGTTATTTTGTGTCATTTTTTAAATTTATAGTCCTGTAAAAACGACGTAACTTGTGCTACAGTTACATTTCAATTCTTTTATTCATTTGTTCGACCTGGAGCAGCATGGAATGTATGACATCAAAAAAAATTGTGATCTGTCTCTTTTTTCCTCAATAAAGAAACTGCTAACGTGTGTCTATTTTCCACCCTTATTGCATGACTGATTGGTTTTACATCGGCTGGGAAAACAAAATACCTCCTCGGAGAAGAAGAAGCAGAAAAAAAAAGAGAGGGGAAAAAATGAAAACATGGGGCTGTAATGGCGACATGGCATTTTTGCTGCTGCTGCTGCTGCTGCTGCAGACTACATATGTTTATGGAACAGAAAAAGGGGGTCGAGACTCGACAATCCATCAACCTTCTCCCCACACAAAGATCGCATGGGTGTCAAATAATACTAAAGGTCTCCTTTATCTTAACACCAAACCAAATAAATAACAACAGGGAGTACAATATAACAAAATAAAACACAAGCAAGAGGCTGCGCGATTAAGCTCGTGACCCCTTGTTGTTGTTGTTTTTTTCTTTCCTAGTTTTTTTTTTTTTTTTTTTTTTTGAAAATGTTATTTCCTCATAATCCAAGCTTTGGGCTCTGCGAGGATTCTTTCACAAGTGCAACAGAATGCAAAAAATAAGAAAAAAAAAAAAGAATAAAAAATTCTTCAACTGCGGATAAATAAAAATACGAACAAATTCACATTTAAATGAATAGTATACGTTCATAATACCCTGTTTGGAGTTTAAGCTTTAAAACAAATTTTTAAAAATAAAAAAGATTAAATAGGCCTATGCATATGCTGCCCCCCTCCCTCCAATTCTACAGTCCTACAGACCAGATAGAGTTCTTTTTGAGAGACAATGACACGAGCAAACAGAGACGAATCCAAGCAAAGTCGTGATTATTCATCCTAAACGCTACTTCACACATCAAACTAGGAGGAGAAAAATAAAGAAAAGCAGGGAGAAGGTGGAAGCTGCGAGGAGGCGCAGAAACAAAGCAGCTATGTGTCTGTAGGTGGGTACTGAAGACAATGGGCGGAGTGATCCGGGGTGGTGCGCCACCACCGCTACAGATGCGTCAGTTTGGGCGCTTCCTGGATTCTTCCCTGAGAGTAGTGCGGCGTAAGGTCTGTGTACGTCGGTGTCGGATCACACACTCCGTGATGCTGACTGTTGCCCATCGTGATTGCTCCGTTGTAGTCCATATTAGCGGACGGCGGGTGCGGGAGGTGGGTCAGACCGAAAACGGAGGCCCCAGAGTTAGGCATAGACTCCATGTAGCCTCCGCCGACATACACGGGGCTGCCCTGCATGTGCGTCCCATAGTTGCCATTGCCTTGGAGAGGATGCGCGTCATACTCGGGCGTGGCCGAGTCTGTCCCGGGATACCTCTTCTGGGAGGGCGGGCAGTTGTTGAGGGAGCTGTTCAAAGGCGGGGGATATGACGTGGCCATGCCGTATGCGTTTTGATGAGGTTTATTGTAAGACGTCGGCGACTGGGATTCATAAGGTACACTGTTTACAAGAGAATGCATAGAGTTGAGGTATCCTCCTCCTCCTCCTCCTCCTCCGCCACCACTGGAGGCTGGGCCCACGGGACTCCGCGGGGACTGTCCACCAGGGGAGGGCATCATCCCCACGCCCTTCTGATCCTTCTTGTACTTCATCCTGCGGTTCTGGAACCAGATCTTGATCTGTCTCTCTGTGAGGTTCAGTAGGTTGGCCATCTCCACCCTGCGGGGTCTGCAGAGGTACCGGTTGAAGTGGAACTCCTTCTCCAGCTCCACTAGCTGCGCGCTGGTGTAAGCTGTCCGGGCCCTCTTCGACGCTGCTGACCCTGGGGGACTCTTGTCTCCGGGACAGCTCTCCACTGTCAGGGAGGAGGAGAGGACAGTGTCAGTCAGTAATCCATTACAGACAGTTATACAGAGAGAGAGGAAAGTGAGAGTGAAAGGAAAACACGCACACGGCTGTTGAGAAAAGTCCCCACCGTCAGAGGCGTGGAGGAACTCGGGTTTACCAGATAAACATGCGCCGCCGTACTTCTGCGCATGTGTGGGGACGTGCACGCACACGCAGCAGACATCTTAATACTTTTTTTTTCTTTTTTGATAAATCTGTTCCCATGCTGCGAAGCACAAGGGTTATCATCAGGGCTCCACGAGACAATTAGCACTCCGTGTTCATACACAGCGGCAAAATAAACACCTGAATATGTCAGAAGCATCAATGGAAGCCAGGTTACCTTGAATTTACAACTCAAATCCACCTCGACCTCTATCTTCCGCTGCACATTCACAAAACGATCTCATGCAAACACAGCCGTATATCGTATATTCCTCAGGGTGCTCACGGCAGCACGCCTCTCCCTGAAATGTCTACCATTGCGTTTGGCTGCAGAACAGCGAGGTGTTGGTCCACTTACCGCCGTGGCAGACGGCCAACACTTCATAAATTTCACTACCTGTCGCCCAGGCAGACCTGGAGCCAGAGGAATGCACCGTGGCATATCCTGACCCAGTATTACACAGATGAGAGAGCCTGAGAGATGGTGGCACAGGAGGAGTACTGCAGTAACTCCTGCTAATGATTATTATTTGACTATTATTGTTTTAAAAACACTTGTGAAGGGCTGTAAAATTTGACCCCTCGTGACCCGCCTCACCCCGCCTCACCCCACCCCCAGGCAAGAGTATGTTTCATTATTGTCAGCACCTCAGCGCGTCTTCTTGAATTGAGAATGAAAACACGTTTTCATTCATAAACGTCTCTTCATATCTCCTGGGTCTCACACTCTCTCTTTGTTAAACTAGAGGATAACCATCTTTAAGAGGTGATGAAACTGCAGAGGGTTTTTTTCTTTCATTTTTTTCATATCAAAACTGCGTTTGTGAAACGTGCGTAAAGCGTGTCCCATAAAACCACTTTGTTATTAACAAATACAAACGCCTTATCATCATAAATCACCCTGAAGAGTGAGGCGTGACGTCACACAGTGTGTGGCTCTCACTGTAAACTAGGCCTTAATAAATGTGCATATGATGTATTTCAAAAAATGTCATACATTAAGAAAAAAAAATCAACAAGTCTGTGAATGTTGCACATAAACCCCACTCCAGAACCATTATGGTCTGCTTAATTCCCAGTTAATCAGCTGGATGTTGTCTACAGACGTGCTTTAAAGGGTTTAAGTGTCCGTTACCAAATGTCTGACGAAAACTAATCAAAAATGTTGCCCATCTAGAAAGGCTATAAAAGCACTTCACTGTGCAGCTTAAATTTTAACTGCAGGAAAGTGATTATGACTAAATGACAACATTACCCATTTAATTAACAAAGGGACATTTGGAAGATGAGCGTCCGTCCGTTTCTAATATGCTGCTCTTTATTTTAGGACATCTGGTCAGCATATGTGGGCCACACGACCCGAACCTTGTACCCATTCAGCCTAGTTATTGCTAACCTGGTAGGTCTTACTAGGACTCATAAAGGTCGAACTGAGTCTAAGGTGGAGATTTTAACTAAAAATAGAAGAGAGTTTTCCGCCTTCCTTAACTGTAACGTCAGGTTTGCGCACATGCGTAAAGCGTGCGTAAAAGCCCTTGGTTTTCACCAGTCAACACATACGGGTGGTCAAACTATTCTTGAGATTTTCTATAGATTCAGTGTACCATACATTTTGTACCTCAACTTGAAAATGATAATAAATAAAAATACAAATAAATAAACACTACAAGAGGAGAGAATTTCCTGTACGTTAAAAAAAATCTAATATAAAAACACACTTCCCACGCTCTGACCTAGTAATCCCCCTCTAATGAAAACAACAGGACAGAGTTGAACAACTGTTGTGTGCGTGTGTTTGTTTGTTGTCGCTACGGGAACATTATGTGATCAGTGAAGACGCCTGTTTACAGTAGGGCAGGTCAGCTGCAGGGCACGGGGATGACAAATGGCAGAATCTCCCTTTAATGTCGAGACACGTGGTTCTTCCCCAAGAACCCTGAATGTGTGTAGATCCTGTATTGTGTCTGGCATCAATTTAATCATCATTTTACCTATAGGAGTGAGGGGGCGGGGTGAGGGTTACTTCAATAAATAAATCAGAGTTTGTTCTTCATTCACCTGACGGTACACGATGTAACATTAACTACAGTTTAGTCATGAGTTCAGTGTTTCGGTTGAATTTTACTTCATCATTTCTATCCGTTATGTGACGTCTTCCTCAGCTACTTGGCCATAACCATAACACTCACAGCTTAATCTGACACTCATTTTAATCCTAACTCCAGACTAAATGCTGAATCTCAAAATACACTCTAACTCTGTCCAACACGTCTCCACAAAGACAGGAAAACCATCGTTATCCTTGTACTAGGTAAACACTAATACACGTCATTCCACTGTGGACTCCATCTGATTTAAATAAAGATTTCTCTCTTAGTGACATACAATATTTTTCATCAATTTCTGCCAATAAAATTGAATATAAAAAGTCACTTAAATCCTTCAGACCAAAACTTTAAATACTGCGTCCACAGACGTGACAAAATATTACTGTGATTAAAAAAATATATATACTTTTTTCACAGTGTCAAAGATAAAGTATAGCCTCAGTAAATGTTTTGTCCTGTAGGGATTTACCCCCCCCCCTCCTCACCCCCACCTGGTCACCCACTCTCACCCTCTTCACTTTGCACAACGATGTTTTATAACCCTGTGATTAACAGTGTGTGTGTGTGTGTGTGTGTGTGTACCTGAACTGGAGCTACTGGCGGGTTTCTGCTTGGTGTTCTGACGGGACTCCTTCATCCAGGGGAAGATCTGTTTGCCGCGGGCGTTAGAGGTCGGGGAATCGCTCTTGGCACTGGGCTGGTTGGACCCGTTGCTCGCGTTTTGGCTGATAGCACCGGGGGACTGTGAGGGAGGGGGCGGACCTGACACCGGCACCTGCGCTTGATTGCTTTCAGGGTGGACCTGGGACTGCGTCGCCTGGATGGCTGTGGTCCTGTCGCAGCCCTCCGCCATCTCCCCCGGCTTCTGCAGAGCCACGGTGCCGTCGGGAGACTGCAGGGAGCAGGCAGGTCGATGGTACTCACTTTCCACATGAGAGGCCCGGGGATATTGGACCTGATTGGCATCATAACTGAAGCCATTTGCGCTTTGATATGGGTAGCCACTGTAAATTGCAGAGCTGTCGTAGTAGGTTGCCTTTTGCATCTCGCCGTTTCCCAATATTTATTTCAGAAACTGACAGGGTCTTGACACCCTTGTAGAATAACATTGGCACCCCGTGGTCACGTGACGCCTCTCCGCCAATGGCCTCCTCGGGTGAACCTAGGGTTACAAGAAGCACTGTGAGGAGAAGAAATGGTGGCGATCCATCTTACTTTTCAATACAAGCCTGACACCAGAGACTATGGAGGCAAGATAGGGCCAACAGTTCTGCAGACTATTACCGTTTACCTTATGGCTTACACGGGGCACAAAGGCACGGACTAACCTTGTATTACCATTTGTGCCAAACAGCATCAAAACAAAAAACCTTTTAAGAGCATTTCGGATTGTTGAATCAATTGCAGGACCTAACAAGAAACTGCATGACATTCTAAACCTTTGAGCCGATAACGAGGAAACTGAATACACGGTTAGAGAAAAACGAATGGAGAAAAAAATAGATTTGGTGTTTTTTTCTAAAAAAAAAAAAAAAAAAAATACTGGTCTACAGGAAAGTCTTATTAGTGGGTTACCACACAGGAAAATAATATTTCTGTAACTCTGTTATTCTACCAACAGGCCTGTCAGCGGCGGATCTGATTTCCATGTAGCAGCTGAACACATTCCCCCCTTGACTCCCACAAACGTTTCACCCAATTTATGTTAAGAAATATCAAGCCCTTCAGTAAAAAGCCACCTGGCACCGAACATAAACAACCGCATTCTCTTCTTTCCTTTACACTCATTTATCTTTTTTGTTTTCTTTTTTTTCCCTCTCTCTCTTCCAGACAAGATAAATGAAAAGAGCCGAAAGGAATCCAGAAAAACCGGGCAGGCGTTTGTGCATCTTCCGTGACCAAACTGTGAGCTTTCTGCCTCCCAGGCCCCAGAATAATGTCCTGTTTCTCTGCTACTGCCTGGAAGCCGCGGCCCGTCGCCCTGACATATTTCGGACGGTGGGCTGGTCCGACCACGAACACGACCACGGAGCTACAGGGAGTGAAGAGCGGCACTTTTAACGCACAAGGAAATGGGAGAAACGACCGAGTTAATCCTGCTGGTTAATCGCCATAATTCACGCAGCTCACCACGGGAACACGAGCATAAAAAGGTAAGTGGGGAAACTAAAAACAATTGTGAAATAATGGTGATTTATTCTTAGTTACGAGCCAGTTCACGCATGGAGGACTTGCCTAAATAATAATAATAATAATAATAATAATAATAATAATAATAATAATAATAATAATAATAATAATAATTAGGTCACATTTTGGACTAAAATGTCATTAAATATTCTTTATTAAATGTAAAATAAAAATGACAGGCCTTTGTGCTTTTTCATAGTCAACTTTAAGTCTTACAGTGCGAATCCGAGATTATAAGATTGTTATAAAAATATAATGCATTTTTAAATAATTATGTATATAGTTCTAAAATGTACGCGCAATGGTAGGCAATGGTAGGCGCTAGGTAATCTTTGTGTGCGTTTTCCCAAAGAAGTCACAGTAAATGGTCCAACAGCGGTGCTCCTGAGCCCAGCCAGAATGTAAATCAGTCTAAAATGAGCAGCTAAACCGCAGCCTGAAAGCTGAATCTGCTCCCGACATGACCTGGAAAAGATATCAGGAAGAGCCCAGCGGTGAATATCTCCAGACGAGCCATGGCGATAGTCATAAATGGCAGAGAAAGAAAGAAAGACAAAAGACAGGCTGGATCTGTGCGCACAAGCCTCCGCTCCACGTTTTTTGAGAAATCTGGCTGCGTTGGACTCTGTGTGTGTGAGTGTGTCTCTGTGTGTGAACTCTTCCTGAACCGAGATCTAAGTCATACGGTGATAAATCACCGCACGACACACAAACTCCGCCATTTACAACCGAGGAAGACTATTTCTGGCCTGCTTACCTTTTCCTCTGACGACGAACACAGAGCACCGAGCAATATTTTCTCATTCAGCGACGAAATCGATCAAAGCAGTAATCCACAGGAAGAAAGTTTTACAGCCAGGGCTGGCTGGCTGGAGCGGCAGCAGCAGCAGCAGCAGCAGCAGCAGACTGCGCCCTGCCATACAGCAAGGCATTAGCAACCACAACAAAAAAGGAAGAGCAGAGAGAAACCCCTTTCCTCTGCTCTTTTTTTTCCTCTCCCTACTCGACGTGGATGGGTAAACCGAGATTACGAAAGCAGGCGTGAGCAGTCGGGTCAGCGAGATAAGACTTATCTGGCCCCACGATTGGATTTATCGTCATGCTACAGAGCAGTGGTCAGGGCGTCATAGCAATATTAAAGCACAGACAAGGCAGTGCTGGACTATGTGATCCTTCACCAGTACCATGCAGACACCAGTGAACTGCCCAGAACCAGAGCGTCACCATAGACAAGAAAAATTATGCAAATGAAGTAGCTCCTTGGAAAGCCAGTTCACATCAAGTGGCTGCCTCTCCTCCTCCTCCCCCAAACCAAATGAGGTGCAGAGTCTAGAGAAAATAATCCTCACAGATAACATGGGAATCTATCCCTCAAGTGTTTTAAATCTTTTTTTTTTTCTTTTGGGTTATTATTGACTCTGCACCGTCTGCAGTGGAATTATGAGCCCCGTGGATGAGGTGTTGGAGAGAAGGGGGCCATACAAAGGAATAACCAGCCGCTGACCGAGCTGCATTTCCATTTGCATGGAACATAAAGGGCTTCTATCCACAGCTTAATCATTAACACACCTTTTTTTTCTTCTGTAAAGCATTTATTCCTTAATACTGAGGAACAAGGACGCGCTGCAAGTCGGTTTCATTTCCCTTCCGCTCCTAGTTATTCTGCTCTCTGAAAAAAGGGGATCACAACACGGCTTTGCTGCCTTTTCTTTACACAACAGTAGCAGAGCCATAGATCAAATCAGTGTTTGAAGATTATTAAGAGGCGCAGACTGTGAAAAATGAGAAGTTTCATCACCAAAAGGCAAAGCAGAGGGAGGGCGGGAGCCGACAGCAGGGGAATCCCTCTGTCTTTGCAACACAAAAATACGAATATTTAAAAAAAAATAAACACATTTTTTTTCTTCACTTGTGTTAAATGCTGCTGATTCTCTAATGGTTTTAGAGCAGAACAAAAAATTCCAATGGCCATAGTTAAAAAGGTGCACAACGCGGACGGCGTGGGAGTGTGAGTGGGGTAAAAAATCCACGCGTGAGGATTTTTTTTAGCCCACTCGGCTTTTTCTTTTCTGAACCTCTGTATAATTATTTACTTCTTTGTTTACCGAAAATGCTGAATCGTTTTTCCCTTTTACTTGGATTGTGAGCTGAGGGTTAAAAGTCAGTGAGTTGGCGTTGAAAGGCTTTACGGAATTAAAAGATAATATATTAGAAAAATCTGGCAAAAAATAACTATAAAAATATTATTGTTAACTGAATAGCAGTCACACACGCAAACACACACGTGTCTCATACAGAGAGTAGGTTTTGAAAGGAGTGAGGCAGCTCTCCAAGAGCTACGATTTCCCTCGTCACATTTATAGTGACAAATTACACCACAAAGACAAGTGGAAGAGAAGGAATTATGGCTCACGGCTTGGTCATATTTGCTGCTGCGGAAAAACACACACAGAGGGGGAGAGAGGGAGAGAGAGAGTCCCTGCACTTCGGTGGGCGTGTGTGTGGTACTTATTAGAAATTGAATAAGGATATGACCATTGAGCAGTCATAATACAAATCAATAAAGACGTGTGGACTTACCGACGGCGGCTCGAGGTGTCCCGGAGACACTGCGACGGCCTGGCTTCACTGTAGAGGAGTCCTGCAGAAAGAAAAACAGAAAGAAAAACACGGCCTTCAGTCCTGTTCTCTAAATTATTCTTTAGTAATTATTTTTTCTTCTTCTGAAGCATAGAAAATACAGATGAGCGTAACGAATGTGTTGTTTTTGTGCGTAATCCCTGCGCATCGCTGCTGAAATGGCTTTTAAAAAATTTAAATAAACAGGAATGGAAGTCGTAGTTTCATTATTTTCAACATTGCTATTTCGTTTATCTTTAAAACATAACATATTTCAAAATATTTAACAATGCCCGATAAACAATTAAACTAACAATTATGATACAAAATGTAAAATTGGTAAAAAAACAAAAATAAAGAATCAACTAAAATCCTAAAACGGGCTTCAATGCAAATAAGCAGTTTGTTGTTTCCCTGCTGACCGCCGAGCATTTTCTGCACAAACGGATCGAATAGTCATTAGCTCCTGTGCACCATCTTCCCCAAGTCCCTCTGCCCATAAATCAAGCAGGCGCGCCGTGACCCCGGCGCGGCCGCGCGGTCCTGGATGGCACTCTGTCTTCCATTATATGCTCGTTTTCCCTGGCGGAGCGACACAACCCCGCCGCTTCCTCTCCTGAATTTTATTGGGGCTCATCTTGATGTAACATTTGCAGAGCAAAAAAAAAAAGAAAAAAAAAAGAAGCGTGTTTAAACACACACCATGTTGGTTTTATAAGACAGGATGCACCTCGGAGCGGCCCTGCGCTTTGTTTGTGTTCTTTCTTTTTTTTTTTTAAATATAAATATGTAAATATGTGGACGTGTTATTTAAACGTCTGTTTTATTTACAAAACGCAATACGGGTATTTAATTCACGATATTAACGGTGTAATTAAGCGGACTATGAGAGCAGCCGTTTGTTTGTTTAAATTGGACCTAGTGCCGTCTGTGTGTCGTTGTGCTACCTGCAGAGAAAAGCCTGGACCCTTTTTTACTGACCTCTGCCTCCCGCGGTAATAACTCACGACAGTAATGAACAATCGGCGGAAATACCTCAAAATAAAATCCATCCTCCCAAAGCTCGGGCTCAGACTCAGTCCGCGTGGAAAAACATATCCGTCCGTGACAGCAGTATAATACATCCACAGACGCGGGGCTCGACGGTCTCTCACTCCGCCTCTGTCTGCTGTGTTTTCTCGCTCCTCGGTAAACAAACTACACGGCCCGGTCTCCCCTCACAGAAAGTGGGGGTAACCCGCATATAATCAGCATCATATGGCCAGACCGGGACTCCGGTTTTCCTCGCCGTGCCATAACACCGCGCAGTATTATGCGCCGCGCTCACGTGACGCAACGTCAACTTAAATCCCTTTTATTTGAGGCCGTGAATCATTAATGGAGGCAGTCATTGCCCCTGAGGAGAAACGGATCAGTTTGGAGGGAGGAAAGAAAAAAAGAAGGGGGGGAAGACGAAGAGGGGCTATGTGACACAGAAATGTATCTGGCAGAGGAGCAAGAGTCTCGCAGAGAAACAGCTTTTCCACGTGTCGCCCATTCACAGAGAAAAAGGGCTGTTCTGTCACATTTAAAGTGCCATATATTTGCAGCCAGTTAGCGGCTGAGAGCGCTAATCCTGGCTGCATTCTGCTCATCAGATTCAAGTGCAGCCGCGGCTCAGAGCCAGGCTACAGCCAGCCACTGCTTTTGCAGTGCAGCGTGAAAATCCACACCATGTGGGAAGAAGAAGAAGACTTTTGTTTAAATTTTATTTTATTTTTCAACTTTAGAGTGGCATAAAGATGACTCCTGGCACTAATAAACCTCTCCTCATTTCTCTCTGTATTACACACTCGGGCTTTTTATGAGGGGGCGGGGGGCGCATTACAGACAATTGAACTCAAGAATGCCCCATCTATCTGCTCCCCCCCCGCCCCCCCCCCCCCTCCCCACTCTCTCTGTCAGAGCCCGGCTGTAATATCGCTCAGTGAGCCACTGCTTCTCCATCAGCAGAAACCTGCATGCTGCTGCCTTCACTGACACTAAACGTTCACCTGTCCTACACAGGGACTGTGCGAGTCCCGGTGGTCGCGAGAGGTGCGTGTCAGTCAGCAGTGAGCGGAAAGTGGAGGTGAAGTAACCAGAGAGTGTCTGCCCGACCCTGCTGATCGCTACACGGAGCCCCATCACACCTACAAGCACTTGTGCGTTTCCTGTGACCAAATGAGTGATGGTAGAAATTACATGTCGGTGCAAAGAGGATTTTTTCCCCTGAGCTTTTGGAGAAGGAAGGGGCTGAATGAACTAGGAGGCAAAAAAAAAGTACCCACTCCGGCCACTATCTCGCTGTGCATTGCCATCCCGATAAAACAACCCAATATTCAAGTAATGCGCCACGCGTGCGCCGTGGAGGTTTATCCGCCTGCCTGCAGCCTCTGCATGGCTGTTGCCCACAGTCGTTTTCTGGAGGAGGTTTGCTCTCCTCGGCCACATTTGCCGCGTTTTTACCCCGTCAACACCGAGCAGCGGGCGTGGAAAAATCCCACCACAACTATTAATCATTCGGGGCGGACACGGACAGCGTCCCCACTCCCACATCTGCCTTTGTCTGCTCAAACTACAACTTGAGCGGCAAAAACTTTTAAAGGGCGCAACAGAAGCAGCGCGGCTCTCATTAATTTACCTTGAACACATGTGGAACTGAAGAGGAGGAATTTTAATGCTAAAGGAGGGGGGGGGGGGCTTTTACGCACAGAACTTTTACGCACAGGTTCTGTATTTGTATTCCTTTAACTACTTTTGTTTTTGTTTTGTTTTGTTTTTGTTCCACAGATGGGAAGCTGCTGCCTGGACTTCTGTGGCTCGACTTGACCGTGCACTGGAGCTTGAACCACCCTCGTCTTTCCTGCATGGCCACACCTGAACTTCTCCCTGACCCGGACAGGAACACAATGTCTGGGTGCAGAACGTAAGCCTGCGTCCAACACGAGGGCCGTAACTACAGCTTTTCACAGCTTTAACTCCAGACTAGAAAGTTGACTAGTTGTCCCAACAGAGTTATTTACACAAACCAGAACTCCTTATCAGTGTCAGCGGAGAGGAGTTAAAGGCACAGACCTCTGGACGATGGCCAGTCCGTGGTCCATATCTGCCCACAATGTTGACACTCAGAGCTCTTAACAGCCAGGCTTGGGTTACCGACACACTCAGCCGAAGATAACTCTTTCTGCTAGGTTTACACCGAGCAACATCAAGGCTAAAGCGAAATCCAACGCCTAGAACTGATTGGAGCCATTCCTCATGGACGCAGAGCAGCACTTGGTTCGATTAAAGCCGAAGATTTATAACTAACACACTGTAGTGGTTCAAAATAAAACAGTTTGAATTTTCATGCTGGTTTCTGAACCTCTTTTTTTCATGCAAATGGAGGAGGTAAGTGAAAAACAAAAACCCCAGAACAAATACAAATAATAAGAACAGTAGTAACTAGAACCCACGTCTGAAGAGCCTTTAGGACCAGGTTAATGTTTAACTGGTGGTTAAATCGGCCATTGTGCCGTGTCTTATTGAAGGGCTCTGTCATGTCGAGTTGTCCTGACAACTTTTAGAAGCAACAGATAAGCGCCGCGCATTGTCTCCGTCATTAAAACACAGTTTCTGCTATTTATGCACAGATTAATTGGGAAATAATCACTGTCGCTCACATAATTTATGGCAGGCATCTATTAGGGCTCCTAATGGCGTCAGTAAAAACAGCCATTGTTTTGCAAAACCACGGCTGCAGACAGTTTAATTGTAATTATCAAATCAATGCAGGCATTGCTTTATAACCAGGAATGATTCGCCATATTAACATTTATATCTTCAGCAACTATTTTTTTAGATTATTATTATTATTTTCTTAAACTGTTGTCTTTAGGAAATGCTATTTCTTTCACAGTATAAGGTTAAAGCACGGATATAAAAACGTTTTCTATCGGAAAAATAATACATAAATAATATTGGAATCTACAGGAATGCTATGGTCAGACGTGGACTAAGTTTGTTTGTAACATCCCTAAAACACACATTGTCATCAATAAAGATGGGAAATACACGAACGGTTGTAATAAACTGCCATCAAATAACTTTACCTGCAGATAAATACTAATAAAAATGGTTAAAAACAGTATGGTCTACTCACAGGTCATGGAGGTGTGTGCAGCAGACATGCAGCGGGGCTGTATCAGGGGAGAAGAGACCAGACTTGTACCCTGCAGAGGATCACTCCGAATGAAAATAAAGGCAGATTTTCACATCTATTTCTGACCCCCGGGGCATTCATAATTCAGCACGTCACGTGAACAGGCGAATTAAAATTTCAGTACATCGGAATTGACCTCTATTCCCGACATCAAATGACTTCAAATCTTTAATTTGAAAGTTGGACTTGTCGGAGTAGCGCGCTGCCAATCAGCTTCAACGCCATCTTCTGCACAGCCTCCATGTCTGCACCATGTCTGCAGCCGCTGCTGCACAGAGCGGAGGAGCGGTTTGCACAAATCTCATCCTGTGTTTGTGTGTTGTTGATGGCGGAAGGTTTGCACAACGTGCAAGAAAAACAAACATGTGCGCACATTTGTTTTGGATTAGATGGTCAACAAAAGGTGTGTAAATATTGCTCGATTCCCTTTAGACAGAAAATGAAAATGGCTGGACGTGTAATGTTTTAGGTGTGATTTCCACAAACACGTGATCAGCAGCAGCACCCCGCTGCTCTTATAACCCCATTACTGCCTGTATATGTTCAAATATTTCACGGCAGGTTAAGTTGAGACGTGGTTAAGTGTCACATTACACTCAGAGGCCACTGGTGGTCTGGGTCTCTGGACAGGGCTACTATAATATATATATATATATATATATATATACACTATTACACAGGATTGTACTCCACGCCACTGTATACATGTGGCATATGTGAGCACTTTAATCCGACTGTGGTGTGAACTCATCTATTATGCAATTACGAGCTACATTTTTGTGCAGAGATGTGTGCCAAGATATATAAAGAATCACAGCACATTACATGCGCACTAGCAGCGTGTTTCTGCTCATATCTGCTCTCTCCATGAGGTCTGACAGGGGTGTTCAAGTGATGGATTGCTCAAGAGCTGTCCCCAAGAATAATTTTGGGGAAAATTCATGGCCGGGATTCACACCTTCAACGCCGTTTTTGTTTTCGTGCTGTCTCTGGGTGATAATCTTGAAAATGAGAAGAGAAGAAAAAAAGCTCCCGGAGACCTGAGCGCTGATGTATGGTCTGGCCACTGTGAGTGTCGAGAGGTCAGGGGTCAGGAGAAGTGCTCAGAGACGGTGATTGGTCAGAGCGGGCCGTGTCCCCTGGTTGAACTCTCTATTGTTTGGATGTAGCAGGTAGTGACCAACACTCACACTCTCGTGCACTGAGGTTGGCTGAATCCCACTATAGTGGCCACAAGAACAATATAAGTGGCCGGATATATTCAACAGTTTGGGTTTGGTCGAGGTTTTGTCAACAGCTGTTACCCGACTAATGGAGTTGATTTTTGCTTTTAAACATGCAATCTCCCTGGACAGCTGCTTAAAACCTTATCGCCGAATTTATTTGATAAGAAAAAGAACAAACAACTCAAATTGCGTATCGGTTAGTCACAAGGAGTTCGAAATTTTAAATTAGTCCAGTTGAAAAAGATTCAAATTATTATGCAAATTTGCGCAGTAAATACATTTGTACTATTTAAAAATAAATACATTAAATGCAAGCATAAATATCAATCTTTATCTGCACATTTTATTTTTAATTATTTTTAACGGTAGGCTGGTGAACGAACTAACGCGCTGACAGCCAGTTATCAATTTTACGCACGCGTCTTTCACCATTCGGATGCATCAAGTGGTGCTTTTGATGAAACTGTATTTGCACACATGCAAATAACAAAACAAAATATGTAAAATAATATCAGAAAGGCAGTGTCTTTTTCATATCCTTTCCGTGTTTTTTTAAAAAAAGCTACTGTCACGCTTTTACGCACGGCTTCAACGCCCACGTCCAATCCAAATTCGCAGCAGTGACAAAACAAATAATATCCAAATCCACTTGAGCCTCGTATGTGAAGTACATATTTATTTCACAAAGACAAATAGAACCTACACTAAGGTCTACAACACGACGGCCATCACTGAGACAACACACACACACACATATTCACAGTTTAGAACACAGCACGACATGGGACGCACCAGCACAAATAAAACTAGACCGTACGACAACAGCGATGAACAGAACTCTAGTGGACGAAATGCTTTTTTCTCTCCTTATTGTGCCTTCATTATGATTTGTCTATTTACATAAAAACGTGGGAGTCACCTGGACTACATTCAACAGTAAACCGACCCACCCTGACACACGAACTACAACTGTTAACTCTGGCTGATGCCACTCCTCTAAAACAGCCGCCTGCTCTGTCTAAACAGGCTTCTATAGATTCTCGCTAATAATCTTTCAAGTATATTAGAACTTTCCATGAGCAGTAATACAAAAATGAAAAAAACAAAACAAACGAACACAATAATAATCCAAAAGAACATATAGAAAATGAGCTCAAATTTACTTTTACCTCTGTCATTTTTAAGCTGTAATGATATCATTTTTGATCCAAGTCCTATGTCTGAGTGTGCGTAATCCTTCTTTTATAATAATAAACAAATATATAAACACTTCAGTCGCCTTCATGGCCGTTAAAGGTGAATTTCAAGCTTATATGAGGAGGATGAGCGGAGAGGAAGAGGGCACAAAGGACGAAACGGGGGCCCAATGGCTGAGGCAAGGTGAAAGGGAAAACACCACGAGTGAAAAATACTGAGAATTGGTCCAACAAATTCCACTTGTGTTATTTGCCATCTCAGTCTGGACTGGGGGGGGGTTTGTGGGACGGGTTCGGTCGTGCACTATAGACCTGCGGTGCACGGCGTGGGGACGAGCTGCTGGCCTGTTTTGATCTGCTGCTGCTGCTGGGGCCCCGAGGCTGAGGAAGAAGAGGAGGAGGAGGAGGAGGAGGCCGAGCTGGAGGAGCGGATTTTGGTGTTGGGAAGCTTGTGCTCCTTCTTCCACTTCATCCTCCGGTTCTGGAACCAGATTTTGACCTGACGCTCGGACAGACACATGGTGTGCGCAATTTCCACCCGTCTGCGCCGGGTCAGGTAGCGATTGAAGTGGAACTCCTTCTCCAGCTCCAGAGCCTGCTGGCGGGTGTAGGCAGTGCGGGACCTCTTGGGCACTCCTCCATTGTAACTGGGATTGACTGGAAAAGGGAGGAAAAAAAAAACAGCCACATAAGCAAGCAGGTGTTACAGCGGCGTTCATTCCACAGCGTTCACTCCAAGCACAAATATCCCCCTCCACGGGACGCGTTAGTGGACGGCGGAGCATCAAACATTCATGAAAATGTCTGAGAATCGCAGCCGCTCCGTTTGTTTAATTCTGTGTCTTGATTCAGTTTACGAACGTGACCTTATTGTGGAGATGCCGAGTGAGAACGCATTCGCATCCAGGGACAGATCATGGCTTAGAGATGATTAACAAAACAGCGGGGTTAGATATTACACTTTGGCTGGGCTCCAGCGCTGGAGGTAGTTTGGGGTAAAAAGGCACATGGCCCCGACAGACGAACATAGGCAATAAAATTTACGAGGGTCCTTAATTACCGACCCCGCTGCTCGATAGTCGTAAATTGCTGCACGGGCTGCTACTACCGCTGCCTCAAAAGCTCTGCCCGTGTCCCAGCGCCTGCTTTTCCACAGGATCATGTTTAACCGCGAGCATAACTCACCGTTGGTTGCGTGGACCTTTTTCATCCAGGGGTACACCACCGGCTCCTTGCCCTTCGCTACGCCGGGATACACCTCAGTGGCCAGGCTGCAGTCTTTGCTGGCATTTACTCCTGCGCCACCGTCTGGGGCCGCGGAGAGGCGAGGACCGTGGCTCTGTGGAACCGGCTGCGGCTGTGCGTGATGCCCGTCGCCGAAATCGTCGAGTCCAGTGGCGGCGACGTTACCGTAATCATAGCCGGGTTCTGTGTAGTTTGACCTCGGGTAGGCTGGCTCTTCGTGATGGGGGAAGCCCGTATCTTTTGGTCGCTCGTAGTAATCTCCAGGGTTGGGGATGTATCCGCTCTGCTGATATTCGTCGCATGGAGGAAAGGAAGGCTCGATATAGTTGGAGTTTATCAAGTAGGAACTCATGGTCATTAATTTGTGAAGTGCAACAATACTAATTTTTATCGCGCTGTCGTTTTTCTGATCTCCACAAAACCCTCCTACTCCCTGTCAAATGTACAAAGTTGCCTGGTCACGTGTGAGGCGCCACCAATCACGGCGTGTCCTGTGGGCATCATGTAAACAGGAACCAATGGAAAGCATGGCACTGGTACCAGCACAGCTGCCTGGACTGGCTTACGTTGGTGTTTTCCTTATTAAATCACAGTATATAAAGCAAAACCAATCAACTAACTTGTTTACTGCAGGAGCTCCAAGTTCTGTGGGCGAGGTTTGAGGGAAAAAGCCCTGCCTGTGAGAATACAGCGTGGAAAAAAAATATAGACGACTAAAAAACAAAAGGCATTTTTTAAAATCGGAGAGTAAACCAAGTCATGTTGCAGGTAAAACTGAGCAAAGTCTGTTTTTTAGATGCAAATAAAATAGATTCTGACGACACGACTGCAAGACGGAGGCTGCGGTCTGTGCACAGTTCTCCTGCTCCTGCACTCAACACCCGCTGCTCTGCGGACACTGAAGGCTGCATGCAAAATAAATGAGCTGTTCGAATCAGATAAATCTGATTATTACTCACTTACGGCAACACAAGAAACCAAAATAAATCCAAGAATCCAAACAGTGCAGCTGCACACAGTCCATTCCTGTGCCTTCTTTCTTTCGCACTTGCAGATGCAACAACATCTCACATGTTGTTCAAAAACATGGCTACAGTTTGAGGAGGTCATTTTTGGCCTCTCTTTGTCTCCAAACACACCACACTGGACTTATCTGACACGGATGGCACCGTGTTGACGTCCTCCACGTGGGACGTGAAAAACCCTCTGCTCCAAATACGAATATTGAAGCCAAAGCCACAAAGACAACAACAAAATAAAATGAAAAAAACTCACCATTAATGGGATTTTTAAACCAGTCCAGCACCAGACCGGACGGTTTACAGTAACAACATGTCAGCCACGATTACACTGCAAGAGGTGCACACACTTCTGGAATTTCCTCGAATTTAAATATGTTCCATAAAACACCATAAACTAATTTTTGTGCACATTTTATAACCTATAAAAATTTAGAAAAAATATGTGATTGTAGCTGCAACATTTGCATTATGAGCATCCACATATTTAGGTGGCATAATAATAATAATAATAATAATAATAATAAAATTAATATTATAGTTATGCTATTAAATGTAACATTAAAAACCCTAAAAGCAACAGTTCTGCTAACTGATGAGTCCTATTTATTTAAACGTTACATGAAATAACCAACACTTGCTGCAAGTGTGAAATAAATAAATAAATAAACACGTAAAAAAAAAAAGAAATCTCCTGACCGTGTTCCGCTGCAGCAGCCATCACGTCCAGCTCCCGCGTCCTCTCCGTGTCCCACTGTATGTGTGTCCCCTGCAGATGCTGCAGCTGATCCACACTGTCCACGTCAACCAGGCCTCTGCGTGAAGAAACCAAGAGGCCAAACTTTGGAATTATTGCTTTCTTTTCCCTGAGTTTTTTTTCTTCTCTCTCTCCGTTTCCATGCCTCTATCTTTTCTATTCTATTCGCTCCCCATCAGTAAAGATAACTTCTGCCTGACCCCGAACTGACACCGTTTCCATTTTGTTTCTGATTAATCTTACCCATTGACAGTCTTTGTTAAACAACAAGGCGTGCACCCCCCCTTCTTGTCCAAAGAGGCGACATTTTCATATCTGTTAGACGCACTGACCTGGGATTCACCCCGGACTTGGACTTCAGTTCTGCAGGGTCTGTTGGGGAGCACTTAGCGCGGGGTCAGCACCCTGGAGGGTCCCCAGAGGAGTTTTTTTTTTTCTTAAATGCGTAAAAGAAGAACAACCACAGAGGAAAATCACATTTGGAAACTCTAGAGGGGAATCTGTGGAGAGTGGTGGTCGTCCACATTCAGGACAGCAGGAGCATTCTGCACATTTAAGTCAATTTTTTTTTTTTTTTATTACTATGTTCTGATGTTTTTGTCATTGTTTTGAAGCTGGAGACTCCACACCAGCTGACCGCTCCTGTAACCCTGAAGGCCCGGGTTTCCTCTGTGGAAAAACCTGCTGTAAATACTGTGGCTGTGAGACCAGTCCCGTGAATCTTCCACTCACACACACTCACACACACACAGACACACTGCGTAAGTCATTGTAAATGGCAGCTGGTGCACTTTCTACCATATATCCACTGCATCCTTATGGCCAGGAGACCACCTGAGAGGCAATACGTCAACATAATGTCAGCGGTAAGACGTCTTCACGTGATATCTAAATTTACACACACACACATACTGACTGCCGTTCTGTTATATATGGAGCTTGTATAAATATGGGCCGGGCTATTATCCACTCACTGTGGGTTTTTCTGCTGTGATTGACTGTCCACTCTTCACAGGTCACTCTACTTGTTGATATGGACTGTTTTTTTAAACCGTCTCTTAAATTCCTGACTTCACTGATGACGAGCTGTGAGAGTCAGACAGATTTAAATTCTCAAAAATAACCTGGACTGAATGTATATTAGGATAATATAGATTTTACAATAACAAATTGTTTGTTTTTCTTCTCATATAACGCTGTAAAAAAGTCAGGTGTTACGGGATACTTCCTATTTTAGCATTTTGATATTGTGTTTGTTTATATTAGTATTTTAATAGCACTTCTCTTAAAGAAACATTGCTGTTTTTCTAATGTTATTGTGTAACAAATAGTCATCAATAATCACAAGACAACAACAAATGACCAAATCGATATGTGGGATTATATTTCTGAAAGGTAAACACACGGCTGTGTTAGCAGAGCAGCCTGTGGTAAACTGTAAGACAAAAACTATAAGACCAACCAACTGTACTGTGGAGATAGAAAAATACAGTTAAAATCAACAAAGACTCGTTTTATTTATATTTACTATGATTTAAATATTTCACATCAGAACGAAACCAACGTGTTCGGTCTGGTGACCAGACGGGAACATACAGCACTGTGGTCAAATGATGGACCAAACATTACTTTAAATTTACCATAAAATGTCGAAAACTAAATCTTAGAAGAATTTAGGAGAGGCTTCAATATATATTTAATCAGATATATGTATTTACATTTATATTTCTACCATAATTATGCTTTCAAAATGTTTACATCTCACATATATGTCATATTAATGTTGTTTACAGCTACTAGGGGTTAGAATATATTAGATACATTAGAGTAGCATATTGTATTTTTTTAAAAACAGAAGTGATGCAATATATATATATAATAATATATAATAGTGTTTTTCGGGGCGTATTACTGTGTGTGCGTGAACGCAGCACCAGTGCAGCCCATACATACAATAATACAGCAGTGTAAACAAACTGACCACTGCATCCAAATGCAACATTTGACACCAACCTTTTTTTCATATCTTAGTTTTTTCCCTGTCGTTTTTAACTTTAAAAATATTTATTTTCTCTATCTCTCTCTTAGTAGTTCCAGGATTCATGTTTGCTGGTGGTTATTTTCATTTCCTGGACAAAGTTAGCCATGAGTTAGCATCAGAGCATGTGCTGTGAAGTGAAGGTCTCCCGAAGCAGCATTCGTCTTGCTGACAGTTTACTGTAAATTTAGATTATCAGAGAAGTGCTGTTGACGACGGTGACAGAGTGCAGCTTTCTCCCACAAGGTCTCTCTGACTGTGCGTCAAAATATTCTCCCTCTCTCCCCCTCTCTCACCCTCTCTCTTCCTCTCTCTCTCCCTCTCACCAACATGTGCCAAGGATTCGGCCTACAAAACACCTTTCATATCTTTATGGAAATATTTATGATAGAGATAAACATTGGTGATAGAATATGTTTTTTTTTCCACACAGGGTCGTTTTAGAGTGCGTTTAAAATGGACTGCTCTTCCAAGCAAAGTGTTCCTGGCTCCGGGGGAGAAAAGGAGAGGAGAGGAGAGAAAAGGAAAGGAGAGGAGAACCACTGGACTGTGGATCAACACCTACGGCTACCATTTCTTTGATTGGCCTTATGAGCCAATGACCTTTAAGGCTGTGGGAATAGTGAAAGGGTGAAACAGAGCAGCTGCAGCCTTTGGACAGGACGTGTAAACGGACGAGTGCGTGGATCCATGGAGGAGAGGAGCTGTTCCAGCTGCAGAGACTCTCTCTCCGTGGCCGTTCTCACCATAACCAAGCGGAATATGTTTCCCCAAACCCAAATCCTCCAAAGTGTCAAATTCCACGACCACACTGGAGTTTGAAACCTCATAATAACGACCATGTACTTCACTGGATCAAGCAGATAATCCGTTAGAGCCAAGAAGTACTGCATTGAATGTGTACTTCTTAACATATTTCTTTTAAAATTTGTATTATTTCGAAATTCAATAACGCACTTATTGTAAGTGACTTAACACATTCTGTGTTTCTGTTCCAGTGTGTGGTTGTTGGTCTTGTTTTTACATTTGCTCATCACTGTGTCGTTGTTTTGTTGACTAAAACAGACCTTACTCTACTTAAATAAAGAATATTATTATTTGTAATTTTCATAACAATCATGTAAAAATCAGAATTTGCTCCAAATACAAAAAATATATAATTATTTTTGTTTGTTTGTTTTTTGTCTAAAGGTTAAAGACACGTTCCCAAACGAGATACACGATTCAATATAATATGAAAATATTAAATATTTGTTTACTTAGTTAAACAGCATTTGTGCATGGACTAAAGTTTATTCTTTTCTGCTTCATGACTCGTAGACGAGGTATTTTCATTTGTATCTTTCTGTCCTGAATGAAACAAACGCACTTCAATGTACGCTGTAAACTACAGCATTTATTGAACAAATAACGATTCAAACCACATATTTGGTCGTTACGGGTCTGTTTCATGGTATAAAAAGTCAAACAATGGCAAATAAATTTGATTAAATTTAGTTTTTATTGAGTTTAATGACGAAAATAAACCTGTGCTGGATAAAATGTGCACTTTTAGATCGTTTTAGATCAAGTTTTTTTGGTATTCACGTATGAACAGAGCTACAAAATGCCTTAAAAGTAAAAGTATTTTTTTGCATTAAAAGAAATTGTCGTTTTTTTAATATTTTGAGGTGAAATGTTTGTATTTCTCTAAAGATTTTAATATTTCACACACGTTACCGTGATCGAAAGTAATGTTTTTTCTCTTTTCCTTACATCGAACTGTGGCCTGAATTATTCTAGTTGTATTTGTGTTTATTTTTTACTTTATTAATTTGTATCCATTTGTATATAATACATTTGTACTTTTATGAAATATATAACTTTAAATTATTTATCTAAAAATAAAAGTGTACTATAATCCTATTTATTTGTAAGATTTTATTTTATTTCATATTATTTTATAAAAAAAATTCTGTGTTTTGACAACCGAATTGTTGTTTTTTTCGGACTATTTTACCGATAAATAAACGTTGTGTTTTTTCTTATCCAATTGTTGCTTTATAAAACGACGCCATATAAATACACTTTGTGCATAAGAACTCCAACCTATATTTATTCAAGCTCTGCTCTGTATGAGTGACGAAAACATCTGTGCCATTTCTATTCTATAGAAGGCCTCTATTCAGCTTATCAGGAAGAGAGAGGCTAAATGTTTTTTAAGGGGTCCGGGGGCCACAACTCTGGGGGCTCCGGGTCCTTCCATTACCCTGTGACCGGGTCGAGAGTATCAATCCTGGAGATGCAAATGTTGCCCCTCTTCCCCAAACATATCAAATGCAATTTATTCAAAAGAAATTCACCAATCAAGCGCCCTAATAAAACGCCAGCCACTCAATCTTGTGGCCGCGGGACGGGTGTGTGTGTGCGCGCAATGGCGGGGTCAGCGCTCCTCCAGGGTTCACCTGGAGTGCACCGTGCAACGTATGTAATTCAAAGCTATTCTCTCCTTTGTGTGGAGAGTCAAGATCGCTATTATAAGGCTGGCATCAAGCTCCGAGTGAACAGATGACGGAGACTTGTTCAGCGCGTAAACTTTTGACCCCAATTTTCCCTCCTCCTCCACCACCACCTCCTCCTCCTCCTCCTCCTCCTCCTCTCCCGCGGCCATCCCGCTCTCATCAGTCCCTGCAGCCCCGGAGAGACATATCTGGATCCCTGATAAATGAAGGAATCATCCCAACAACAAACGCCTATATACTACAGCAGTGACAAGATCACACATTTCACAATTAGTAAAGATGCCAGAGCAGGACCTGGGCTGCAACTGTAGCGTCCAACTGGGCCGTGAAATGATCAATCCACGATGGGCGCCCACTTTGGACTAATAGAGCTGTAAAATATGCAGATCGTTCATTAGGCTCACAGAGCCAGCAATGCAGCCAACACTCTTTGTTTGAGGCAACACTGGAAGTTTCTCTCTCTCTCTCTCTCTCTCTCCCTCTCTCTCTCTAGCTGCAGCTTTTTTGTCCTCTGCTGCTGCAGGGAGTGTGACCACAGGCGCTCACACACTCCGTTCTCCTGAATTCATTTATGCACATTATGCTTATGTGAGGAGAGGAGGCAAACAAACGTGTCATTAAACGTGAATCTCAACACCGTATATATATATGTGTGTGTGTGTGTGTGTGTGCCTGCTCTGTGCAGTGGATGTGTGTGAAGGCTGCCCCCCCCCACCCCCCGCCCCCTCTCTCTGTTCATACAGCAGGGTGACAGTGAACTTGGCCTAAAGCGAGCTCTGCTGGTGGCTCAGAGAGGATGCAGATTTATCTTGGAGCCGGGGCTGACCTCCAGATGAACCTGCAGCGCTGCTCTGCTCTTTCTGCCTGGCGGTGCGCCGCACACATGGGGCCCTGTCCAAATTTCGCAATGAAAAATTAGAACTTTTTTTTTCGGTCTTTTTCCTCTAAATTCCAAATAGCTACATTAGCAGGGAGACCATTTAAAATCCCTGTTCGTTCAACCATTGGCTTTTGAGGATTGCGCATAATTAGTATCTGCAGCGGTGATTGGATCCTCTCTCTCCACAACTCCAAAAATGTTCATATAAAAATAAATAAACTCGTTTTGTTGAATGTTTTCCAAAAAGATCGTCCAGGTTTTAATGACGTCTCCTCTCTGGTGAGGAGCAGATGTGAAAAAAAAAATCAATTAGATGTTTGTCCAAGACATTTCAGAATGTCTCTGTGATATGCATCTCGTCAGGCAAAAGTAAAATCTGTTTTAAATCGAGTTGCAAATGAGAGTAAAAGTCAGTGTAGAAGAAAGAAATTCCCAGCGGGGGGTTGAGGGAAGTTAAAACTAATCAAATCTAGATTTGCATCCTTTGCAAATAAGTGTCGTTTTAAACAGGTTTAAGGAGAATTTTAAAAATAATTAATTTTAACACAAAATCCTGTCTCAGAACTCGAAGTCAAAGGTAAAGAGAACAAAAGAAAGAAAAGGTGCGGCGCCGCAAACGTCCGACATCAGAAGTCTTTAGCACTCATCTTTTCATTTTATTTTCCAATTTCTGTTGAAACTATTCCTATTCTACAGTGTGTTGTTCTTTGGATAAAGCTCTTGACAGCACACTGACCTGTCCCCCCTGTCCAGCTCTGCTCGGACAAGAGGTCACCCCCAAAGCGAGAGTGACTTTTTCCGGGAGGTCATCTGAACTTTTCAACCCCAAACAGACAACGCCGTGCCTGACACAAAACGGAATTCCTCTTTAGATGTCTCCCCGCTGCTGTTTGTTCCCATGTTGTGTTTACGTGACACTGTTTACAGCCTCCCATAAAAACCCATGCGCGATGCCAACATGTGGCGCACACACAGCGCACAGAAAAAATCAATAATAATGTGAAATAAAATTAAAAAAACAGCTTTTCCAAAGTCCTCGTGAAAAGTTTTAATATCTGATGTGTTACTGTTGATCTGTAAACAGGCCTCTTTTATCAAACACACACACACACACACACACACACACACTGGAAACTTTCTGGCTCACGGTCTGCGAAATCTCCAATGCAATAAACGACAAGTCGAAGTTTGTGGGGGTGGAAATGGACACAGATAATTATCCAACATGTAAAAACGGATTATGAGTTACACCACAGATGGAGGGAAACAAGTTACACGGGGAAGGAAGCAATTAAACAGCCATGAACCGGACTCAACCCTGCGTAACATCTGCCGAGACCAGGATTCAGCACTGCACAACTGACAAATTAGTGTAATGAACTAATAGGGACAGACAGAGGGAGCGAATACAATAATACGGCTGTCTAACTCCAGCTGACTGCTAACAGGCTACAGCGGAAAGTCCACACAAACTCACCCAGAGACGCGGTCCTGGTCCCGGACGTGGTCTGAGCCACACTGAGTCACACAGACGCCGTGGACCGGTCAAGTAACACATAGAGGCAGCAAAGCGAGACTCAGACCAAGCCTCACAGTCTGTGCGAATATATGTTATGTGCAATATACTGTCAACTCCCCAAAACCATAAAACTTACTTTAATGGCCACCACGTGACCGTTTATGGCCAGTGAGCCTATCTGGCCGCGCTCTGGATGATTTTTACGATCTAATTCATAGACAAAACCCCCCATTCATTTAGCACCCAAATGTCAGAGAGCCAGAATCGGCCCCTAATAAAGTTTACAGCATGAAAAGTCGAGCTGGTTCTCCTGGAAAAGCCCAGGAGTCCGTGCGCAAAGGGACGCCCCGGCCCCTGACGCCTGTGAGCGGCCGAGGACCTCCACCACAGCCCACCTCGGCTCCACGGAGAGGTGAGTGAAACTAACTGAGGGGTTTTGGGTCAGAGTGGACCTGTTGAGCTGCAGCAGGTCTAACTTGTGGGAACTTTGGCCTTTTATTCTTTTTTAGAAAACAGGAAACTCTGCCTCTTGGAATACGTGCGTAAAAGGCGCACCGCGAGTATCTGCAGCGGTGATTGGATCCTCTCTCTCCACAACTCCAAAAATGTTCATATAAAAATAAATAAACTCGTTTTGTTGAATGTTTTCCAAAAAGATCGTCCAGGTTTTAATGACGTCTCCTCTCTGGTGAGGAGCAGATGTGAAAAAAAAAATCAATTAGATGTTTGTCCAAGACATTTCAGAATGTCTCTGTGATATGCATCTCGTCAGGCAAAAGTAAAATCTGTTTTAAATCGAGTTGCAAATGAGAGTAAAAGTCAGTGTAGAAGAAAGAAATTCCCAGCGGGGGGTTGAGGGAAGTTAAAACTAATCAAATCTAGATTTGCATCCTTTGCAAATAAGTGTCGTTTTAAACAGGTTTAAGGAGAATTTTAAAAATAATTAATTTTAACACAAAATCCTGTCTCAGAACTCGAAGTCAAAGGTAAAGAGAACAAAAGAAAGAAAAGGTGCGGCGCCGCAAACGTCCGACATCAGAAGTCTTTAGCACTCATCTTTTCATTTTATTTTCCAATTTCTGTTGAAACTATTCCTATTCTACAGTGTGTTGTTCTTTGGATAAAGCTCTTGACAGCACACTGACCTGTCCCCCCTGTCCAGCTCTGCTCGGACAAGAGGTCACCCCCAAAGCGAGAGTGACTTTTTCCGGGAGGTCATCTGAACTTTTCAACCCCAAACAGACAACGCCGTGCCTGACACAAAACGGAATTCCTCTTTAGATGTCTCCCCGCTGCTGTTTGTTCCCATGTTGTGTTTACGTGACACTGTTTACAGCCTCCCATAAAAACCCATGCGCGATGCCAACATGTGGCGCACACACAGCGCACAGAAAAAATCAATAATAATGTGAAATAAAATTAAAAAAACAGCTTTTCCAAAGTCCTCGTGAAAAGTTTTAATATCTGATGTGTTACTGTTGATCTGTAAACAGGCCTCTTTTATCAAACACACACACACACACACACACACACACACTGGAAACTTTCTGGCTCACGGTCTGCGAAATCTCCAATGCAATAAACGACAAGTCGAAGTTTGTGGGGGTGGAAATGGACACAGATAATTATCCAACATGTAAAAACGGATTATGAGTTACACCACAGATGGAGGGAAACAAGTTACACGGGGAAGGAAGCAATTAAACAGCCATGAACCGGACTCAACCCTGCGTAACATCTGCCGAGACCAGGATTCAGCACTGCACAACTGACAAATTAGTGTAATGAACTAATAGGGACAGACAGAGGGAGCGAATACAATAATACGGCTGTCTAACTCCAGCTGACTGCTAACAGGCTACAGCGGAAAGTCCACACAAACTCACCCAGAGACGCGGTCCTGGTCCCGGACGTGGTCTGAGCCACACTGAGTCACACAGACGCCGTGGACCGGTCAAGTAACACATAGAGGCAGCAAAGCGAGACTCAGACCAAGCCTCACAGTCTGTGCGAATATATGTTATGTGCAATATACTGTCAACTCCCCAAAACCATAAAACTTACTTTAATGGCCACCACGTGACCGTTTATGGCCAGTGAGCCTATCTGGCCGCGCTCTGGATGATTTTTACGATCTAATTCATAGACAAAACCCCCCATTCATTTAGCACCCAAATGTCAGAGAGCCAGAATCGGCCCCTAATAAAGTTTACAGCATGAAAAGTCGAGCTGGTTCTCCTGGAAAAGCCCAGGAGTCCGTGCGCAAAGGGACGCCCCGGCCCCTGACGCCTGTGAGCGGCCGAGGACCTCCACCACAGCCCACCTCGGCTCCACGGAGAGGTGAGTGAAACTAACTGAGGGGTTTTGGGTCAGAGTGGACCTGTTGAGCTGCAGCAGGTCTAACTTGTGGGAACTTTGGCCTTTTATTCTTTTTTAGAAAACAGGAAACTCTGCCTCTTGGAATACGTGCGTAAAAGGCGCACCGCGCTCTTGGATATATACATATATATATATTTTCTTTTCTAAAACATACACTGAGTGTAATGTTGGCGTTCCAGTAGAAAGTTTATTATAACGACCATCATCATCGTCATCATCATCATCTTTATTTTTATAATAGTATATTTTTTGACTTCCAGTCTTTACAAAAAAAAAACATTTACAAAAGAAAAACAAAAAAACTTTTTATCACGATGGACTTTTACACAATGGAATCTGCCGTGGAAATAAACAAATTCCACACGGAACCAACTACTAAACAAACACAAAAACAGCTTGTTGTTTTTTTTATTATTATTATTATTATTCTAATATGTTGCGCTCGGGATGAACAACGAAATCAGCAGCTCCTGCAAAAAAAACCCAAATGAACGACAAAAACTAATATACAAGGCACGTCTACTGTACATTTACAAGACTGACCAGTGTCGGCCGCACGTGTGTCCTTACATGTGTTCACAACGCAACACAATGAGCGCACAAAAGGGCTGACTGCTGAGCAAGTGACGTGACGCAAAACGATCTCCTCAGCACATCCAACAAATAAATACATACATTATACAGTACAGACAGAGAAATCCAAGGCTAAAGACAAAAGCAGCTGAAACTCGTCCCACTCCCACTCCTTCTGGTTTCATGGTCTGAGCGCATCACGCAACTTTGACTGGATTTATTCATGTATGTAGGTAGCATCTCAAGTTGTTGTATTTTTTTTCTTCTTCTTCTTCTGGACAAGAAATAATTTAAACAAACATTTATTGATATTTTTTATCCCTTCTAAATCTAGACAGAACTGTACAGAATACGATTTTTTTATTTACTCACATAAGCATAACCACGTTGGAAATAAAAAGGAAAGACAAAATAAAAAAATTACCATATATAAGGGAATATAAGGGGACTGCTGTTGGACATATGTGGACCGTGTGGGGTGTCCCCTGTTCCGCACACTGTCCGGGAATAAGTCTCTGCGCTCTTTCAGGAGTCGATATGACAATCTTTGTTTTTATTTATTATTATTCTCATATAAGTGCTCCTCGTCAGGGCTGCAGGAGTTGGAGGGATCAGGGCCTGTAGCCTCCTCCTCCTCCTCCTCCTCCTGCCGCCGCCATGCTCATGCTCTTCAGTTTGTTGTCCTTCTTCCACTTCATCCTGCGGTTCTGGAACCAGATTTTGATCTGTCTCTCTGAGAGGCACAGGGCGTGAGCGATCTCGATTCGCCGCCTGCGGGTCAGGTAGCGGTTGAAGTGGAACTCCTTCTCCAGCTCCAGGGTCTGGTACCGGGTGTAGGCAGTCCTGGCTCTTTTCCCCTCTGGTCCAGATAACTCTTCAGCAACAACCAAAATATAATATTTTCAAAATAAGTAGGGAGGAAACGCATGACACAAAGCAGATGTTTTTGCACCAAAAACATACATCGTTATCAATATTTACTTTTTAACATCTCTCCCTGTGAGCTCTGTAAAATGGCAGCCAACAAAGTTTAAAAACGAAAACAAAGTCAGTCCAAAGAGTTTCACAGTAATTCTGAATCATGTTTTACGATTATATTTTAACGACTACAATTTTATTACAAAATGTCGCGTTTTCAGACTAAAACTTGACATAAAAATAAAAATAAATCCCTGCACATCACTCTTGCAGTAAAATAAATGTAACCATAATGTTACAGCATTTCATATAGAAATATCTGGACTGAAGTTGGCTGCAGGTTTTATTATTTTTCAAACAGGTAGGAAGGTGAAAAGCGCACGTGACGAAACTTGCCACCTCAAAGTACATGAATTTATATATTTAAGTTCTTTTTTCATGCACAAACTGCAGCCGTGTTGATGATAAAGTCCTACTGTAGTTAAATCTCAACTCATTTTTCCATTTTCCCTCTCTCTAACAACGACTCTCCGTGTCTAAAACCAACATGAGATGGCGTTAAAAACCACTTTACCGTGACTTATGTGTATTTTCCTCATCCACGGATATATTTGCGGCTGTGACGAGTCGTTGACATTTTGAGGAGTTGTCGGTGCGCTTCCCGTGGCTTTCTCGTCCTCCAGAGGGGAACCTTTGGACACGCAGTCCTGTCCGAGGAGCAGCGTGGCAGCGTTGGCGCCGGAACAGGACGTCGTGATGGAGTTTTTCATGGCTCTCTGCTGCTGGGAGTGAGTCTCCGGGACCGGGGACGAGCTGGCCACCGAGGCGCACGGCAGAGGGTCAGGTGGCGGCGACAGAGACGTGGTCCCGCTGCTGCTGGCGGGCTGAGTGTACCTGCCCGGCTCCACCGAGGCAGTGGTGGCCGCTGAGTGACTCGGAGAGTATCCCTGCGTGCGCTCGCCGCCTCCAAAGTGTCCGGCACCGGCGCGTCCGACTGTTAGGTCCATCCCGTTGTAGCCATACGCGTACCTGCTGGAGTGCATGGCCGTGGAGTCTCTGTATTGCTCGTTTGCCGAACTATGGTCTCCATAATTATGTAACTGGAAGTCCGCGCCATTGGGATAGCGACCGCAGAATGAGTTCACAAAATAGGAGCTCATTTGTTGACAATTCCACCGATCGCCCGCCGTAGATGTCGCCGGAGTTCGTTATGATTTTGGGAGGTAAAACGGCATAAACCTGTGCGCTTGATTTGTGGCTCTTTTGCCTTAGCGCGTCCTATAGCACCCAAGCACAATTTATGATGAATTATGGAAATGAGTGGGACATGGACTTGATTCTCTCTTACGTAGGCACCCAAATATGGGGTACGGCGAGGAATCACGTGCTTTTGTTGACCAGTCGTAAATCCTCCTGTGTGACCTCCAGAGGTAAACTCGTGCACGCAGGAAATACTGGGTGGGATGAAACGGGCGCGCGCTCACAGGCGCTCCCGGCTAGGGACGCCTCTCAGCCGTGGCTTCGCTGTTTTGGATTGTCGCCGTGCGCCATCCTCTGGCGCAAAGGCGGTACTGCGCGTCTGCGGCGGCTTTGTGAGGCGTGGGCTCCGCACGGGGTCATTCGGAGGTTAACGAGCATTGCGGCAAAAAAGCAAGTGGGCTCCTAAACAATACAACAAGTGACACGCTGAGAGTGCAATCTCTGCGAGGACGGTGTTGCTGCGGGAATAATTCCATCAGATTCTCCTCTGCATGTTATGATGGGCCATGAGTGAGAAGCGTCTGCGCCGTAATGGAATAAAAGCGCATCCAAAAGCTATTCTCTGTTTTTGTTTTGTTTTTAACACGTATCTTCTTTATTTTACCCCATAACACACACACATATGTGTATAGTGTAATAAATATTTGGCATAAAGATAAAGTTTTAATAAGACCTTATCCAATAATGCCACAGAGACGTTCACGGTCTGAACACCGCGCTGCTAATTTCAAAAAACAATAACTGTGAAGATCTGCTGCACATGAACGGCCGCTCTGCTGTTTTTCCTTCTTTAAAAGACTGTTGACTTTTAGATGAAATTTCAGAACTATGTTTGGCACCGGTAACCTGCCGTTACTTCACTCTGATTAACGTCCTGACCTTTAGACAGACACTTATCCCGAATTCCGTTTTTTTATTTGTTTTTGTTTGTGTGTTTACGCGACATGAACACAATGCAAAGAATGACAAGTGTGTGTTTTGCAGCCTAAATAATATGAGGGTGGTGTGAAACCACAAAAGGAGCACGAGGAAAGCACATATTTGTAACAAACAAGAAAAGAAAATGTTTCGAGATTTACATTTTTTTCAGTACGAAAAAAAAATTATTGCAAATATGTGTGAATTATTATTTAAACGATGTAATTATAATAATAACAATGATGATGATGATGATGATTATTATTATTATTATTATTATTATGCGCAAAACCAGACACAGACACAAAGACACAGACTTATTGACAATCCTTACGTAACTGTGCGTAAAACCCTTAAAAAACAATTACTGTTTCTTCAAAACAGTTTTTAGAAAAGCGTTACTGGTTTGTTAAAACAGAAGAAACCTCCTCCACTGCTCCTTTTGCTTTTCTCCCCGTGGAATTTTTATGGCACCTTTGTCTCCCAAGGCAGTGAGACATGTCCTCTGCCCCCCCACTCCCCTAACAAACATGTAATTTCCCCCCCCAGAGCCGCACCTTTCTCCCCCAACACAAGCCCAATCCTGCGTTACTGACAAAAACACTCGGCTAGAGAGAATTTATTCTGTCCCAGGTATGCGAGCCCTCTGCGGTTATCGACCCCCAGAAGACACGGTGAAGGATTGAGGGTGAACACCGGGGCTCGTGCATCCACCGCGGGCCCGGGTGCTTTTAGAGAACATAAGAAGGCTCTGCTGGTTTAACAGTGTGCCTCCAACAGCTGATTTATGACTGGCCAATGGCAACAAAGTTCCCACGAAAGTTATTTCCCTTCCCCAGGCAGAGACACACCCAGGAACTGAGCAAGGGGCAACAATGTGACCGACACTGTGGGGGTCAGTGCTGGAGGAAAAACAGGAGGGCAGTGCACTCTGCAGGCATCTCTGCACACTTGCACTTGAGAGCAACAAAGCAAACAAATTATAATAATAGGATTTGAAATACAATCATTTTATTTTTTTCGCAAATCCAGTCTTTACGCACGGATGCTGTGCGTCACGCGTCACGCACAACCTTAATTTTACACGATATGCAAAACATCAACATCCAAACTGTGCATCAGCTCACAACACACAGCCGTGGGAGTATTTGTTCACATCAATCACGAGTAGGAAGGCAAAAATAATTAAAGTGTTATTTGTGGCGCGGTAATGGTGAATAGACGTTTTAAGGACGTGTTTAAAGTCACCTTTGCACCAGTGGAGGAAACTCTGCTCGTTCTTTAGGTTGTAACTCACCGGACGAGCCGTTTGTTTGACGGACACAGTATTTATGGGAGCAGAGCAAATAACAACAGTGTGAGGACAAAGGCAAAACGCTGAGGGGAAACAACCACAAACAAGCAGACATGTTCAGAAAATCCCTGACCAACTTAGCGACGTCAGTGAAGGTCGAACATTCTGTCTAAGATTCCTCCATCACACCTGTGAACCACGGAGGCGCCTTTGAGCTGCACGTGTTGTGAATTAACGTTGATTATCAGTGCGCCGTCACTGGTAATTCACAAGCACAGAGGCACCGCGGTGCTTCACGGGTCTCCAGCCTTCAAACCACCGTGCACACCAGCCCCTGAAATGGGTAAGGGGTGCAACCGCAGTACCCAGAACGCCTCCACGGGAGGGCGTTAAAGAGCACACAACTTGGCCACCATCCACCCAATAAATGTAGCAGCCGAAAAGCCCATCCCAATTCAAACACGGCAACAATCAAAGTCAGTCTCGACCGCGTGCGAGACGCAACAGACGGTTCATCAACTCAATGAAAACATTAGCGCCGCAACCGTGGAGTCACATAATTTGGCACGAGTGCAACTGCCTCTGCCACCATGACACCGTGACACAGTGATTCACCTTGGCACACAACAACAGCCGCCACAGCGTCATCAAAACATCATGCAATCATCAGATAATCATCAGCAGGTGTGGTGTGGTGTAGTGTAGTGTAGTGAACACCGGCTTAAAAATTAAAAGCACAAATGTGTGTATAATAAGCAAGGTTAAAGTCTTACCTCGGGATGTTTCTTTGTCAAACGGAGGAGGATGGGGAGGCACCGGGCAGGTGCAGTGGTGCAGACACCGGGGGAAGTCTCCAGCTGAGTCCCAGGGCTGAGGCTGAGGCTCCCGGGGGTCAGTAACGCACCAGGGCGCCTTCCTCTCATCCTTCCCAGTCGCGTCTGCACGCCGACAGTCGAGTAACCCAGGCGATGCTGCCATGTTAATATATAAGACGAGCTCCTATGACTTGACCAAAAGTGGAGGAAAAAAAAAATATTAATCTCCAAATTCCAAAAAAGCCAGGAACACAGGGAGGCGAAAGGTTGAAAAGCTGGAGGAAAAGCGTGGCGTGGAAGCCCCGAGACCGTTAAATGAAAGGCTGCTCTATTCCTCTATTGGAAATTATATATAAAAAAGTTCATGTTCACGGCTCACGGCCATGTGACCAGCCGCGGCCAATGAGAGGCCGAGTTGAGTCGTAAAGTTGTATGGCTCTGTTGTAAATTTTCATAAACAACAGCGGATTTATGAGGCAGGGACTGGGACACGGGGGGACTGGGCTGAAGGAGGGAGGGAGGGAGGGAGAGAGGGAGGGGGAAGGAGGAGGAGAAGGAGGCGGGGGGTGGGCAGGTCACCGTCAGGCGCCATCTTACCGAGGGAAGAGGGAATGTAGAGTTCAACAGTAATTCCCCTTCATCTGCAGCCTGACCCATCTCGCATCCTCATAGCTCACATTCCCCAGAGCCAGTGTTTACCCTGCCCATCACAATGGACTTCAGCCTCCTTTATGACATATAACCTAATGGTGGACAGCAACCCACGTTTTATTATCAAAACTATCATTGTTATATTTCAAAGAACTGCGTCATTATCGCCGTCAAATGTTTCATTTTCAGAGCGAAACGTCACAAACACACAACAGACCATTGGACTAATATTACTTTGTTTAATTCCATTTATATTTCAGATTTGCAGTAGACATTAATCTATATAAATATATATATTAATTGTGCAAAGGTATATATATATATATGTATGTATGTTTACACCTTTGCACAATTAATTCTGACAATTAATAATAAACAAATGCAACATGTCTCGTTTTCCACTGGCCAAACGAACAACCTGTTCTGAAGTACAGCGCTACCCACATGAAGACGCATACATTTCATTTTTGACCTAATTAGTACTCACAAGTACGCGTGTAATCTGGTTCAAATTCTTCAGACATAAAAAACAAAACACCGCCGAGGCAGTAGCTCATGTTGTCAACATTTCACAGTGGAGATTTACACCCAGCACATTCCTGTTTACACTATAACAAGCATTTGGACTGTGTGGGAATGCGAGGTAGTTTACATGAAGTCAAAGGAGGAATTTTTTTCTCTTCCTCTCCAAAGGAATAGTGTTGTTATAAAAACAACCCCGTTTAACCTACATTATGACATGTGGCTGTATGAGCTGGATTAAAGAAAACACGCTGTAAATTAGTGGAACAACCGCGAATGTTCTATGGTAAACAAATGGTTAAGTTGAAATAACTTCAATACTTTTGTATGGATTTTTTAAATTTATTTTTGAGGTTTATTTTGATGAATAAAAAGTAAATATGATCTAATTATTTTAAATATTATGTACTCCCTAATTAAACCTTGACGTAATTGTAAAATTATATGACAGCGACATCTTGGCTGAATTGATGTAATTCTCTTTATTTTTCTCTCCTGTTACTTTGCAGCGGCATCTGCGTCCGAACCCGAGCTACTACTGTGACGGGATTCGACCGTGGACCCGCACCCTGTCTGGACACTGTTCCCTGTCCCCCCAGTTTCCGACGCAGATTCATCTTTTGGACGTTTTTTCCACTTCATCCTTCTGTTCTGAAACCAGATTTTGATCTGTCTCTCTGAGAGACCCACTTCACGCGCAATCTCCACCCTGCGCCTTCCGGTCAGGTACCGGCTGAGGTGGAACTCCTTCTCCAGCTCCAGGGTCTGGTACCGGGAGTACGTCTGCCGCCCGCTCCTGCGGTTTGATTCTGTTGGAGATCACATTATAAAGCGATAACTGTTTTGAGCAGTGACTTCATGTAAGTAAAAATCACAACTCGTTAAATAAGCCGGTATTAAATGATGGTTCCAATAAAATTCATCAGGATAAAACCGTGTCTCGTTAATTTATTTGTGATTGCGCTATTAATTGTGGCTCATATTTTGCCGCTCCGACTTAACAGTAGGGGGAGAAGGATTTTTTTTAAGGGTTAGTACATCTGCTTAGAAAGCAGCCCTGCTGGGGATGTTGGGTTCATGCCTCCTTTGATACTCTGCAAGCGTTTCCAATTAAAAGCCAGTAATGTGCTTCACACCGAAGGAGCCAACAGTAATTAGATTACAAGCCCAAAACACTCGCTTCGAAATCAAACTAATAAGAAAGAAAAATCTCTTCATATCAACGTTTGGATTTTAAAAATCCATGTGACGTATTTTCTCTGGCTGATTCTACTGCGTATTGATCCAGCGATGGAGGCATGGGTTTGGGAAAATAACACCAGAGGCTCTGCAGTGCAGACCAAATTAGAAAAAGGAGCTGCAGAGTGCAAGAAGGCTGATTTACACAACACCCAGGTCTTTTTTTACAACCACAAAGGGGAGAAGAGGCTATAAGAGTAATAGGAGTGCCGAGAAACCCCCCAGCGGCAAGGTCTGTGCGCACTGAGCACACAGAAGCGCCGGCCAAATGAATTTATGGCTGTGGAACTCATTAGTTGCGCAGTAAAAGTTTTACGATTCTTTTCCATGCAACACCAATGGTTTCAGGAAATTAATTGAAGCACTAACGGTCAATGTGAGCATCCCAATGTTTAGTATAGGCGCTGACCCTGAGGCATTAAAAAAAAAAAAAAGGAACACAGACAGTATACCTGATGCTCTCATCCACGGGTATATCCGGTAACGTTTGTCCGGCGGCGAGCTGAGGGGCCCCGGCCAGGGATGGCAGCAGCTGTCAGTGGACCTGCGGCTCTGGTCGAACTGGCTGCGGTGGGTGGAGACCGGGGGGAGCGCGGGGCGGCCGTGGGGGCGG